ACAGGGTCATATATCACTGTATTGACTGAGAGAGAGAGCAGTGTTGCAACAGCGGTAGAAAGAGTAGAGAACAGATCAGATACAGACACACTAATCAGCAGAAGAAATGACATCTCACTATAAGGCATAGCAACTATCACTGTGGCTGTAAGAGAAGCAGGAGGAGATGTAGCAATGAAAGTGATACTTTCACAGCTCATTGATACTGCTGTCTTCAACCTGGCTTTCTTGATAGTCATGAAGACTGCAGCTGCATCATGAAGATGTTTATTCACTAGAAAATGTCAGAATAAGTCTCTTATTGTCTTCTAAGAATGATGCTTTCATGCACTCACTATTACAGATGAGAGAGAGAGAAGAAAAATGTGTTATAAAGAGAAGAGATCTTTTTGAAAAATCCTACTACTACTGTTAGCTTTGTCTCTAAAACACACTACTTTTGCAGAGAATTTCATACATAGAATAGAATATAATAAGAGATCTGTAAGTTACTTATTAACTATGTTTTTCACATTTTAAATTGATATATAAGGAACTCACTTATCATATATTTAATTTGAATGAAGATAGGAAAAGAAAGATCTACACAGTCAGCAGAAAAACTCATCTATTTCTTTGTATTATATACAGTATATACACTGTCAATCAGTTGATAATCATTGTTATACAACAAAGATAACTTCTAATTCAGTAATCTTAAGAATATAGAGACTATACTTTTAAAGAGAAGAGTATTATCATACTTTCAGCAGTATCAAGATTCTGCTGTGATTTCACACAGCTTATTACTTTCATGTAGATAATTTCATCTCATCTGAATCAGTTTTCAACTACTCTATAACATTATTCAGATATATTATAGAAAGATCTGATTAATGAATAAGAGAACTCTGCTTCTATATAAGATCAGCAGATTACTCTTTCTTGATAATAAGATACTGCTGAGATATCACTTCAGCTATTCTTGCTTATGAAATGAGAGAAGAATATTCACTCATTATTTATATAGAATAGCTAGATGCTGACTTCTTATCAAAGAAGTCAGTGATTCATTTCTTTTCTTCTACTGAAATATATATAGAAGTTACTGTGTATCTTATACAATCTTCTTAGTATACTAAGTATTATATCTGTGATATTCTCATAATAACTCTGTAGTCTATGAGCTCACTATTCAAGCAAGATAGTCAAGCTCACTTATACAGCTTTTTAAACAACTATCTCTACATAATATCACTGACTAGTCACTGCTTCAGTTTCATCACATTATAATATTATATGAAAGATCTTTCAACAGTGCTCTGTATACTGCTCAGCTACTGAATTCAAATACTCATTCTAATTGTATTAAGAATGTCACATATCTTCATTGAGAAACATTCATTCAATTCATTATTCTTCTCAAAAAGCATACAACTATCTCTGAATTCAGTGTTATAGATGTGATGAAGAAGGAAGAGAAAGTAATGATATTTCTCTATATTATTATACAAGAATCTTCATATCAAGATACTGTGAAAAGGTTTGAGCATTCACTTAATACAGTTTCAAAGTAAGAATTAGCTTCTCATATAATTATAATATAACTTTTGTTGTTTTAAAAATACTTACTCATTTTATATAAAGTATTTCATGAGATGTTGAAAGCACTCTGTGTGCTTTACAGTCAGCTTGTACAATTGTTAAAATCTTCTATGAAATATAGCAAAGACTTGCTCAGCAGTAATTCTAAGCAGTGATCATTCTTTAGAGATTGTATTAAAGTATTAGATGATACTTATCTTTCAATATTCATTTCTTCTAATCAGTAATCTGACTGATAAAATTGAAAAGAATGAATCTCACAGAACATTCTGACAGCATGTGATTTTGAGATGAACTTTATGTATATATACTCAGGAATGAAAGGTTCTGCTCATGATATATATGTTTTTAATCTGGCTCAAGAGTATAATAACTTTTTAGTGAAGAAGTTCTGCTATTTTCTTGTGAATGCTGATTATTTAAAAAGAGTCTTTATAATATTGATTTCTTATTCTGATGTGTGATATCATCTTAAGAAGTTTGAAAAGATAGATAAATGATCTGCTAATAAGAAAGAATTATTCAATTTTTCATATGTTAGTTTGCAGAGTGTAATTAAGCAAGTTTCCAGAGTATTTAAACAGTGATTTCAAATATACAATTAAGAAAGAGATGAATTCTTCATTATCACTTAAATTAATCTTGTTTTCATATTGACAGCATTTCATAACTTTATAAATAAGTATGAAGATCTAGATAATATTAATCTGAAGAATTTGAATGATGAAATGAAGTCAGAATAGTTGAATATAATGAATAAAAGAGAGAATAGTGATGAGATGATTAGAAGAAGAGATCAGATTGCAGAGAAAATGTGAGAGTTCTATAAGAGATATATTAAAAATATAAAAGATTAATCAGTAAGTCACATGCAATTGATGCATGAATCAAGATTGCTTACATATATCTTAACAAAAATAGTTGAATTCTACACATAATTTCACTTTTAAAAATACAAAATGATAATATATTGATGTATTCATTGTATATAATATCATATTATAATTTATGAGTTAATAAAATACTCTAAATCATCTAATCATCTCACATAAAAAGTTGTGATGTTTTAAAACACATGTTTGTAAGTATAATTCATTATTATTATAATATTGAGCAAAATTCAGTCATGTTCTTGATTATTTTGAAAGAAATAAGATATAAAAAGAATGATTCAAAAGTATTATTACTACTGCTCTCATTACTACTCTCATTACTACTCTTATTACTACTTTTCTCATCATTTCTTCTACTACTCTCACTATGACTGTGACATCTTATTTAACATCTGCATAATATGATCTCACTGAACACTGATTGAGCTATATTTCAAACCTAGATACAGCTGAGCTTCTTGAATATTGAGAAAATAATATGAAATTATAGCATATCATTAATAAGAAATCTCACTGTCAATCTTTCAATCTTCTGATAGTAGATTCTGTATCTCACTTATAAATAGCTTAATGACTTGCTCAGTTTCTCTTTCAACTTCAATCTGCATATTAATCTGACTGAGACTGTTTACAGCTGCAGTCAGATTTTAAATATTCTCATTAATATTCTCTAGTTTTGAGTGTTTTTTTACATAATTGATACTTCTGAAGACTGACAGATTTATTGTAGAAGATAATGAACTTTCTTTAGTTTCTGAATTCATTACAGAAGATTCTCTCATTTCAGATATTATTATATAATATTTAATTACAAATCAGTCAGTGATAAGTCTGTTATTAAGTAATTCTTCAGTAAGTTCTTGAAATTCAGAGTCATATTCTTGAAAGATTTCAAGATCAGAATGTTTAAAGAAATACTTATTTATAATCTCTTTATCATTGATATAGATTTTATATCTGTGATTATATATTCAGCTGAATATCTGATTTTTATATCTTATTCAAAGTATTTAAATTCATTTAATCTTTCTTCACTGATTATTATATACTTCTTTGATTATTGTCTGACCTGTTGACTGCTTGACAGTCTGTGTAGCAAGGTTTCAATTCACAGGTTTGAAGTTGTTATTATCAGTATTCAATTCTTTCTTTTTCATCTTCAAGAGTTCAGTAAGCAGGGTCTTTTTCATCATAAGACTTCATGATATTCTGAGATATCTGGTTTGAGAAGCAAGTGTTCACTTTTGAGAGATAGTAGGTGTTTGATAAGAGAGTGTTTCAGAGTGTGTTTGAGAGAGTGTTTGAGAGAATAATAATAATTGAGAATCTGATCATTGACTCAGTGAGGTTGAAATTGTAGAGATTTAAGTATTATCATTCTTCACATTCAGATATTGTATTGAGATATCATACTATAACATTCTTATTCACTGCTTTCATAAATTCTAGCTAATAAAGACAGTTAAATATAGACAAATCAACTATAGATTTGAGAGAATATAATTTCAACACAGACACATTGATAAATATGAAATTAAAAAAAAAGCCAGTATAAAGTGATCTCAATTATGAAATAGTATGATGATGTAACACTGGCTTGCTACTAAATAATTGATAAATACACTATTTTTAATGAGATTCACTATTGTGTTCAAAAAGTACGGACGCACTGAACAGGCTCTTATAGTAATAAAAATAGATTTAATCTATATATTTAAGTAATTAATAATTGATTGAAAATCAGTTGATAATCAATTCAGTATTATTATTAAATTCAGGAATAATTTCAGTATTAAATTAATTTTGAATTGATTTTGAATTGATTCTGAATTAATTGTTAATTAATTATAGTAATAAAATAAATTCAATCTGTATATTTAAGTAATTAATAATTGATTGAAAATCAGTTAATAATTAATTCAGTGTAAATTATATAAATACTTACTTTATTATTAAATTCAAGAATAATTTCAGTATTAAATTGATTTTAAATTGATTTTGAATTGATTATAGAATTGATGATAAATAATTAAGAAAGAAAGAGTGGTTTCAAATTACAAGAAAAGATGTATTGAGTGAGGTCAGGTAGTGGCACGGGCCACATTTGTGAGGTCAGCTTACATAACGAGGTCAAGTGGCGCACTTAGCGAGGTCAAGTTTTCTGCTTCCTGCTGTAATTGCCACAACTCTCCATCCAGCAACTTACGACAAAAATAATGTGGAAGGTGTAAAGTAATATTCGATGTGGACAAACAGCAGCCACTGGCTGAAAGATGAATATATAAATTTAGGGCGAATAAAAACTACGAGAAATTAAATATAATTTCGGGATTACCTCAAAATGGGGAGAAAACAAACAAAAATTCAAAGCTGTACAATAAAGGTAGACGGAGCTGGTATATTTAAGAAAAAAGAAACGGAAAACTGGATAAAATTAAAGGGGTAATATCAATGACCAAAATGTAATCAACAAAACGCACTAAAACGTAAAAACAGTATATATGCCTTACTAACTTCCAAATTCTACACATTTTCACTCGAGATCCTCCTTTTTAGTCTCCGCTTCCTCTCTTCCCTTGCCAAGCGCTTCGACTTCCGGTGCTCCCGCAGGGTCATCAGATGATCCTTAGCCGGGTGCCAAAAGGCGTAAATGGAAATCACGCTTACTATGGAAAATCCGGCCGTGCCGCAGACGTACCAGAAGTACCGTTCCGAACGGGCAGTGTCTGAGATACCTTGTAGGTTCATGCCGAAGTAGGAGGTGCAAAAGGAGAGCGGGAGGAATATTACCGTCACTGCGGTGAAGAGCATGATCGCACGCTGCTGGCTGTCACGAACGATGGTGAGTTCATTTTGTTCGATGGTGCGGAGATGGAGGAGCTGCATGAGAATGGAGGTAAGTATATGAGTTGCCGGATGGACTGGTTCTTGTTTGGACGGAATGCTTTGAGCGACTGGGTTTTTTTTTTTTTTTTTTTTTTTTTTTTTTTTTTTTTTTTTGGGTGTGTGTGTGTGGGGGGGGGGGAGCCCCCTCAGGGGTATTATAATCAGAAGATGGGGCCAGCCTACATCATCCATGGAATTTTTAATTTCGTGGGCAATATTCTCAATATCATCACGCTGTTGTCGGATTTTGCCCAAAGCCCAGTCCACCCTATGCATGCAAGACTCGCCGCCAGGGTTGTGTGGTATGTCATTGTTGCGATCCTCTTCATCATGTGTTCGAACATCTTCCTTCAACCGCGTGAACAGGCTCTGCCTCGACTCTAGCATCTTGCTGATGAACCTGATTTCCTCCATGCACTGCAGAAAAGTCCTTGTCAACCGAACGGTCTCGTCGCGCCTCCACGGTTCATAGGTACGTAGTTTCTGATAGATTCTTGTTAGTATGGCCGAATCCTAGAATGAGGAGCTAGATTCTCGGCTACAAACAAGATCACGAAGAATATCCTGGTATGCTTCCACTATAGAAATCTGATTATGGCCCAGAGTGTCATTGTGTGGGCATGCGCCGATTTCGGTTGCGAGGTGGACGACAAGCCATTCAGCAGTGGGTTTTTCCCAAGTGCTCGTTCCTGTTGATGCAAACTCCTTTAGGGTTTGACCCACGGCCGAAGCCCCTGGGTTTCGCAAGATGTCGTCAGGAGATTGTCGGAGATACTCTTGAAGTCGAGCATCGAGATAATTAATGCCTTTCGCAGCAGACAGGGTCAAGAGAAAACCTGCATAAAATTATCAGCTTGAGTACACCGTCTCGTCTTGGTTACGACAGGGTGGATATTAGAGCGAACCATCATTCCTATGGAAAAACCGAAACTCATTTCGAACGAGTTGGGCATCAAGAAACGCTGGGTGACTGGAGAGAACTCGAAAATCATAGCTGTTGATGACTGGCTTGATTCGTCCCAAGGGCCCGCTTGCGCAGATCGGGAGACCATCAGAGATTTGCCAAGGTATATCGGACGCAACTAACTCCCAGAAAGTGAGCTCCGTGTTGAGATGATCTGCTCGCCACTCTAGATCAGCTCGCAGCTTCGCATTTCTATCACCTCGGTGACACTCCCAGTCCAGTGGCTCAGGTCCAACCGATGTTTCGGTGGTCTGGGGAGATAAACCATCTCCTTTATAATCAGGCGCAGAAGTAGACAAATGCTCTAGCCTTGAGAGCAAGCAGTAAGTGTCTCGCAGATCTTCGACCTCTTCACGATGCCGAAAATTTAAATTGTCGAGCTCAACATACGCAAAGCCAACATGGCCAGCGTTGTTAAATGGGCGAGGGTGCTCATTGCTCGCGTGTCGAAACAAGTCCTCAATAGACTAAATCGAAATTTGGAATCAGCACTCGTTCCAGCCCAACAGGCTAGAGCCGTGGAGCATTTAACCCACAGAGTGATAAATTCCTCTACCAACTGGGACATGTCTATTTCATTATTAATCAGTGTATGATCATTACAGAGCCCGGCATGATAAGTTTCTCTTACATCCACCGAACTTGAACGCCGTGAGGCTTGTCTTGCCACTCTTGAGAAGAGTCAGCATGTCTGCTTTTGTCAATACAAAATGGGAGTATATATCGGAGGATCATGGAAGAAGCAATTGTAGGGGGAAACTAGCATACGGGATTCAATATCTCCAAGAGGGACCCCTTTAACTTCCGCGTGGTCGGGATAGAAATCGCAAACCTGAGCCTCGAGTAATGCCCTGGGAGGGAATTGATACCGAGCCAGGTCGTGAAGATCATGGTCGGAAGGTAAATGTGTATAACCATTGAAAATGGTGGAGAAAAGAAGGTTCTTCATGCCGTTACTATTCCGCTCCTCGTATAGCCTTCGCATGGCAGCAAGCGTTGCAGCATGTCGTTTAGCTCGTGCTTTTGGTACGATCTCGGCTGCGGCAGCCTGGGCTGCCCTGTCCCTGTCAAAGCGATGGAGCATAGCATCTGTTGTCACTGTGACCTTTTCTTCATCACCACTGTGCAAAATAGTGTTAGCAAAATTGCCATTCTCAGCCCGCTGGTCGAAGTTCAGAGGCAACAGACGGTGTTCTTTCATGGACCATGACGGTGTCAGTCATTGTATCCGTGATCTCAACCACATCCACGCGAGACATCTTGCGAGTGTTTTCATCCGTTACAGGCTGGAGTGTGATTTAAGGGGGAAGATACATAAAGCGTCAACTTGTCAACGCATTGAATATTTTATATGCGGGCCTAGGAGGCTCTGCGGCCTGTCAGAGCCGATGTTCTCCATGTTTGACAACCCACCCTGGTTCCTTCATGCCCTCACAGCCCCCAAGGGTCAGCATGGATCAGAAGATCGAGACTCGCTGGTAATAATAATAATAATAATAGTGGTTGGTTGGTAGGCAAAGAATGGTAGTTGCCATGACGGTTGGTTGGGTAAAACGGCAGCAGCTGGCGTTGAAATTGCAACTAGCTTGTTTAAATAACTAGTTAAGTTACTTCAAGCTAATGCTTGAGCTAGTTAGTGTTCGCGGGGGTCCGAAAGGCTGGAATAGCACCATTGGGCCAATGCAATGCAATAATGCAATGGCCTGTCGAGCGAAGAGCTAGTTATTTAATGATCAGAAAGCCACCAGCTAACTAGCTGTTCCGTTGCTTTTGTGCCCAACACAACCCAACCACTCCACTCACTGGGAGGAACGCGGCCTTGACATGTGAGAGCCGCTGATCAAGACGAGAGTGTGAGATGGATGGATGGGCAATAATAATAATAATAATGAAGACCCAGCCAGAGGTCCACTGGACTTCATTTACTCTGTAGGCTTGAAATCCAAGGGCAGATGCGGGCTGAACATGAGCGCGCACAAGCCTATGATTTAGGTAAGGATAAGTTACCAATACCATACCATGTTGTTTTGTTCAAGTGTGTCTGCGAACAAATGCCTCAGGCGGTGGGCGCTAAATATTTAACTGGAGCAGGGAGTTGGTTGCAACGGAGCGCTTGGAGAGTGACAAAGAAACCCCTCCTAGGATAGTTATTTATTTAATGGACAATCCTTGTTAGATCGCTTCGTTTGGATTTCTTTCTTACTGCGATAGTTAAATATTTCTGCCATACACTCACCTTCTGGAAAAAAAAAGCAGCACAGCGCAACAAACTGCTAATATAATTAATTAATCATGGCTGGCCATCATCCACCGCTAGCGCTTCTCCTGCTTCCCCCGCCTCCGCAACCTCTGTCCGCCGCTGCACTCAGCGCCGCCTATCGCCCTCCACTTCGCGCCGCATTGCAAAGACTCCAGCGCCTGTCGGTCCGCTATTCAGCGCAAGTCTCGTGCGACATTGCCCTTCCATACCCAGGCTATACCCTAGGACAAGCCCAACACACATTCTCTGGATGCGAAGAGAAACTCCTTCACGACGTTCAGGACCTCCTGTTGAACACATATACTCTCATCTACTCAATATGTAACGAGCAAAAACAGAAAGCGGAGTCCTCCGTAAATACGCCCTCGCCAGGCACACCCAATTTCAAGAATGTGGATGCTCGCATTATTCTTCTAGGCTACGACCAAGGTTTTAGCTACGACACTCTCGTCCGCCCTGCTCGTGCCATTCCATCATGCATTGTCGACTTATCTATACTCGCGCTTTCTGATAGAAACTGGTCTCACCTATACGTGACGGAGGGAGAGCCTGGGGAGCGGCTCTACCGTCAGTTTAGGGCGTTGGTGAATGGTAACCTCTCGGCCCGGGTAGGTGGAACGTGGGAGATGGAGCGGGTACCTGGCGGGATGAGTTTTAATATGCGGCAACAATCGCAAGCATTACCAGGCGCGGCAGCGCCAGTGACAGATGGAAGTATCACGGCCACCAAGATACCGGGGCACCGAGTACTGGTAATTGGTAGGGAAGAGAGGAGCGACCAGGAAGCAAATTTCCTACTTGCAGATTTAAGTCAAAAGCTCCAGTTAACCATCGCACTATTGCTCGCCGAGTTCAACAGCTCCGCCATTCAACCGGAGAACCAGAACCTAGATGATGACAGCGGCCCCGCTCCCCCACCTTCAAACCGTGCAGCTCCCGAGGTGACCGGATTTTTTCAATCGATCGTTGACTGGCGCATTGCAGGCGATCGATTCTCAAAAACTCAACCAGCCAGCAGCAGACTTCGTTTCTACAGAAACACCAATGGCTCAATTGCAGTCAGCCCTTGGGAGTTGATTTATGTCACCGAACCTCGAAAACAACTGAAACAAATAATTTATGGCAACAAGGAAGATGGTGTTGCTCATATGGAATATACGGTAGTCTTGGATGAATCGCAGAAGGATTCCCTGGCAAATCTCATTCAGCCATGGAATGATATATGCCGGTTGGTGGTTTGCAAATCTCTTGTGCCACCCTCATCTCAGTATGAGCCTCACGAGGACGACCTACTCTATCAGAACTAAATTTATACTTTGGTGCATCCTATCTATCTAATGTACTTTGCTAAATGCTTCTTATTCTCCTGGTTAACTTTCTGCTTTCCATCCAGGTATTTATTTCTCCGTGTAAACACGACTCTTACGACTAAACGATCGAATTCTTCTACCTAACAATGGTTTTGTTTGGAAAAGCCGGTTCTACATCCATTGATATTTTCACTTAGCCCGCGCACTCATATATCTGTATTCCTGTCAATTTGGGCTCATTTTGTCACATATCCTGCGGCCATACATCGCCCAAAACGTTCCATTCTATCTCATAGTGGGCAAACCACTAAATTGATATGACCAATGCGATCCTACTTTTTGGACAACCCACCTTTCTATAGCTGTCACCTCGTAATGTTAAATGTATGCAGAACAAGCGGACTTCATATCGGCTTGGCATAACAATAGAGGGTTCTAAACACAGGTAATCTAAGCACAGGTTCTCACAAGATATTATATATATATATTTAAAAAAAAAAATGGATGTCATGATATCGTCGTATCCAAAAGCCCCTATCTAAGCCTATCTATCCGTCGCATCGTCATTAACATTCATGTACTCGCGGTGTGGAGAGTAGAAGTTGGAAATTCATGATATTCCGCAGGGAATATAAATGCCCGCCGATATGAATATGTCAACGATGAACTCTCTCCATACGTAAATCATCGTATGGGACACAGAGTCCCAGAGCTTTCACCATTAGTTTCTGATGCTTGATCAAGGATAGCCCATACGAAAAGCTAGCATTACTCCAGCCGAATCTATAGTCGCGAAAGGTGTCAGTCAGCAATGATATAAGACCGAAAACCCTTAAAAAAAAAAAAAAAAAAAAAAAAAAAAAAAAAAATGAAATGAATAAAAAATAAGAAATATAAAGAAAAAGAAAAAGAAGAAACAAGCCTGGCAAAGCTTACCCCTCAATATTCGCGTATTTAAAATCCAACCCCTGATTCCCGTACTCCGCATCGACCTGGCTGGGGTTATCCAGTTGAGTCACATCATACTTCTCCACGATCGCTCCGTGGTAATTCACCGCGACCCTAACCATAAGTTGCAGCCAACGGTATACGAGCCTTTCCATTTCATGCAAGTAACCGTATCGCTTCAGCCCATCCCAGGCAAGCATCTGATGTGGCGCCCATCCAAAGGGGAAATCCCATTGCTTCGGGGGACGGTGAGGCATGCTGACTGGGCCCCGGGACTGCTCCGTGCTGGTGCTGAGGCCGCCGACACATTCGAATTTTGGTAGTGCTCTTGCAAGGAGGGATTCGGCTTGTTCGCGGCTGGCGATGCCGCACCAGAGCGGATATAGGGTTGTCACGTATTCATAGGTGGTGCGCTTATGGGTTCTTGTGTTGTAATCAAAGTACATTCCCTGTTCAGGGTCCCAGAGGTATTTGTTTGCACGCTCCTGGCGCTGATTGGCACGCTGGAGCCAGGACGCTGATGTTTCGACATGGTCATCCCCCATGTCTGTCGTGCGCCATTCGGCTGGTATGGGGAGCTTGTCGTTGAAAACCGTCTTGATGGCCCAAGTTATATCGGTTTCGTACTTGTATAGAAGGCAATTCAGGTCCACAGTGGCAAGGTCTGCACAGCCTTGGTCGAACCGATAGCTGCTTATGAATTAGCATTGTTGCGGGAGCAAATAAACTAGGTCGATCCCTAAAGTCAAAGTAGCAGACTTACGACGTGTCATGTCCCGATTCCCGCACTCCCCTATCATGCATGAAATATTCATCTAGTTCAGGTTCATTTACATTCCCAGAGTTATACTGGTTAATAAACTCGGGAATTGTACAAGTGTACTTTTCTGCGTAGCTGTAGAGAACCGCGTCGAAATGACCTTCTTCGACTTCCAAGGGGATACCCTTACCAGGCGGCTTAAACCGCGAGAGTCCAGTTGTCGGATCATATCGCGGTTCCGACATCCAAACGGTGAAGTACTCTTTGATTGCTGCCAGAATCCCGGATCGCAAAACTTCAGCTGCCTCTTCCTTGTTGTTCATGCCTTGGAAAGTTCGCACGGCGAGATCCGAGAGAAACGGCGGTTGCGACCTGCAGAGATAATATGACCGATTTGCATTCGGAATCTTGCCATAATGTTTCACTTGGAATATGAAATTATTAAGAATGTCCCTCACAAGATCAATCCTTCCGATTTCCAGGAGACCAAGACAGGCAAAATAGCTATCCCAATAGTAGCATTCATTGAATCGACCACCAGGTACAATAAACTGCAGTCCCCGCAATTTATCTGGGTTCGAATAATCCATTTCGAGCGCGAGCAAACCAGGTCGATCTCGAAGGCCATGAACGAATTCAGCGGTAACCTCACCCTGGGGGAGGTACTGCACCTCCAGTTTTAATTCGGGTTTGTTCTTTGAAACTTGGCAGTAATAATCGTACAGTCGCCCCTCGCCATATGGAACAAAAATCCGTGGGCGCGGGTTCTCGTTCCAGTCCTTGGGGTCCGGCGCAGCAGCCTCGATCATAGACTCGTCTAGCCGTCTAGTCAAGTTGTTCCAGTACTCGTCCTTAATTTTTCGGTTGATACGGCTAACCGGGTCTTCGGAGACATCGCTGAAGTGGATCAGCTTTGATGCATGCTTCCCCTTCGTCAAATGTAGTTCCTCGAGTAGATTTGCAAGCAGATATGTGCCTCGGATTTCCCGCGTCCGACCGCCGTCAGAGAGCAAGGTTCCCAACGAAATCACCTAAGATTGACCTTCAACAAAAAATTTCATTTCCTTAAAGATATGTGCCAGGTATATAGTCATCTCTCCTACCTTTGGCCCATTATCAAGGATGGTAATCTGCAAATTCTTGTCCGTATCTTCTTGGTCAAGCAGGCTCTTCATAGCATCATCAATCCACACCTTGAAAACGGGAGGCAGCGAACCTTCATCTATGGTATCAGTTAGATTATGCTGCAGAGGAAAGGAGTACGGTGACAACAGCAAACTAAATACCGTGGCTTCCTCGACGTGTTCGCGGCACCAGGATTTTCTTTGGGAGTGCTGGCTGCTCGGAGTATTAGCCACTACAGTTCTAAAAGAAAAGAAAATAAAGATCAAAGACTAAGGCATGATATCTATTAAGGGTATTTAGAACCATAACTTTGAACTCTCAATGGACAAAATGAGTCCCGTCGATCTGTCTTTGAATATCTCGAGGGATCGAAAAAAAGCCCCTCTACCCCTCCTTTTCCTTTTCCCCAACGCCGCCGCGCCGGAAGTGTTGTTACTTACAATGGATGAGGACTTTCTCAGTTCGTGGACTGCATGGCTGAAACCACGGGGAACAATCAACGGCGTGCCCTCATTCATTTTGCTTGATTCAATAGCTCTGGTTCGGCTTACGGAACAAGCTTTCGGCCACTCCAACCGAGCGAAACTCTTGGGTGTGGAGATTCACGACGAAGAAAAATAAAATAAATAAAACTGAAAAAGAAACATGCAACAAGGAATGGGTGATGTTAGTTTCTCAGGAATGGGTGAAATAATATCACATAAATCTAGCAGTTTGAGGGCAGAATAACTGTCAATGCTGGGGCTGTGCGCCGCGGGGTATTTCGTATGAAGGATTTCCTAGCGCGGCAAGTCACTACAGACAAAGGGCCCAAACTTCGTCCTCCAGGCATGAATGAAGCATTGCAGTTTGTGAGGGTTTCAGCCTGTGCTTCTTCGAAATTACCATGACCATTTCTTGCTCACAACTTAAATACCGTTAAATTCGACGTTAACTATATATTATTAACAAAGGCGGCTCATGCTGCTCTCTGCACTTGCCTTTTTGCGGGCGGAACCTCTGTTGGGCTCTGGATCTTGTCCGTGAAAAGCGCACAATAAATGGCGCGGGAATTAGGGCAAGCAGCTGAACTCTCGATTCCAGGAGCCGGCCAATCTCCTCGCATGTAATTTTGACCCGCCCAAGCTATTGGTAATTGAGAAACTATGCACGGGGTCGATTTGATGGTCGAATCAAACGAAAGGTGTGCTTGACGGAAAGCGAATCTGCTAAAGCCAACGTTTTGAATTAAGAGATGTTATATTGCTCCCCGAAGGCACCTAGTCAAAAGCTGACTGGAACTTGTTTTGTATTAACGGCGCACAATTCAGGAAGCCTTCCGCTTCAGAGGATGACCTTTTTGAGCGTAACTGCCATCTCGATAATGTCTGCTTTACGTGCTGTCGACGCAGCTCATATAGGTGTCCCAAGTGTGCAGGGCAGCACACGAACCTTTCGTGTGAATCAAGCGGTTTTGGCCGAAGATTTTTTCTTTCTTTTTTACCTTTATCTCTTCGTACAAAGCATGAAGCGCAATCACTCAGGCGAAGCCCTCCCTATGGATGTAGCGTTAGCAAATTTGCAATAATCGTGAAGATGAAATTAATTCAAGGAGGCTTGTGTGTCCATATGTAGAGGGGGTATGCGTGAAAACTGGGGTTAGACCCAAAGATCTCTCCATAGCCGCGCCAGGCTGCAGAGATGGTTAGATAACTTTACAATCGGCCTAACTAGCCCCCCAGCTAGCCCCTTCAGCATCCAGGAGGAGTGGTATGGTATAGAAGGGTAAGGAACCATAGGAGACGGAGGTGTACTGGATCAGTCCTACTTCGTATCTATCACGACATTAGCAACCAGTCAAACCGAGACTCATGTTGTAAATCATAAAATCTCGAGATTGAAACACCTTAAACCCGAAACAAGCTGTACTGGATGAGAAATCGCAGAAGCTGTCCTGATGCCGCTAGGGGAAATCTCAGGGGCCTTAATGAACCTCCAGCCTTGTTACAACCAGGTAAGAATCGTGCTAAAGTCCGCAAGTTCATGTTGACATAACCATACAGAGTAGTTAGTGGTGGAGGAACTAGCTATTTAGCCGCGCGGGAGACGCGCTTAGTCGAACTTAAACACCGTTTATTTTAGCGAAATTGCATGCCGTGTCGTGTCTAACACGGAGATAGAAGCGTGTGACCTTTATAATAATTGAAAGTGAAGAAATTAAATGGTTAGTAAAATAATGACCCTTAACTAGGTGACAATTGCTGACCCAAGGCAGTAGCTACTCTATTTAGCTGAAGAGCTTAACCCATCTGATTCTCACACTTTTAGCCACAAACCCGGACTTCATATATTTTTCCCATTCATCCAACAAATAAGTACACTCGCAAAAGATTCCGAAAATATTAGTATTTGTTACTTCCTCCGCGCCTTGTGTGCACAGAGGATCTGAGGGCATATGACCCCTCCTACATGCCCTACGAAATGGCGAAATGGCTACCTGCTCTTAAAGTACGCCAGCTTCAACGCCTTGCTTCTCTGACGGGAATATTGTCTTCGGGTACCAAACCGGTTCTCATAGAACGTTTGGGCCAAGTACTCAACGGTGAACCACGATGTGCAGCCCAAAATGCTAGCCAAGAAGAATCATTAATAAACCACAAAAAACCGGCAAGCATTCTAAGTATTGACATGGGCATCCGAAACTTGGCATTTGCCCACCTGGTGGTTCCGCCGGGCCAAGCCGGCGAGTTAAAACCTCCTTTTTTGAGTGCGTGGTATCGCTTATCTGTTCCTACTTTTGTGGCCAATTTGGCGTCAGACAAGCAAGTTTTGGATTTGCACTTGGGTGAGGAAATGAAGCCGCAAAATAAGACATCGAAGGCGAGCAGATCGAATGCTCTCGACACACTTGAGGCTAGTCAGTGTGATGGAAAGGTGAAGGAGAAGGAGAAGGAGAAGGAGAAGGAAAAGGAAAAGGAAAAGGAGTCCTTTGCGCCCAAACTATATGCTACACACGCATACACCCTCATGTCATCTCTCCTCGCAACATATAAACCGACACACATTCTTATTGAAAGGCAACGATTTCGATCTGGCGGAGGTAGCTCTGTCCAGGAATGGACCATTCGCGTCGGCGTCTTTGAAGGAATGCTCTACGCGGTTCTTCGTTCCATACAACTGGAGCGGAAAGGCGACTTAGCCAACATTGTCGTCGAAGGTGTGGAGCCTCAACGAGTAATGAAATACTGGATGGATGAAGAAGAACTCGATCTGCATCCGAAAGGCAAGAAGACAGAGGTCTCGTCAACGAAGAAGATATCCCAATCAATGACTCCGAATAGACGCAAGCAAATCAAAATAGATCGAATTGGCAAACTCCTCTCGTCATGTACTGGATCAGACGCTGGTGGCATAGGACCAGCAGACTTAGGTGGTCATATCGGCATACAGTTCGGCGACGACCGTCGGATGCATGAGGTAGTTAAAGCCTACTTAAAGAAATGGGAAAAGAAGCTGAAAAGAACCAACGCAAAGACAAAAGGAGGCTCTACCAAGCCCACCGCTTCTTCAACCACTTCTTCGAATAAGGTTTCTCATTTCGCAATGGATGATTTACAAGCACTGGAAATCGAGAAACTTGATGACCTCGCTGATTGCCTGTTACAAGCTATGACATGGTTAGAATGGCAGAATACGCGGCAAAAAATCGCTCGTTGTGGACTTGAGGCGGTTTCATCGAAGATAGGCAATTGATTCGCTTTGATTTGACAACGACGGCAACTGAATACAACACTTTCCTGATAATGATTTGCAATTAACATATCACCCACGTATTGAAGTGTCGTTAACCTCCTACGACAATCTGAATAATTGGCAGGATCCAAAAAAAAAAACAAAAAATTTAAATTTAAATGGATTTGAACGGTAGACATTATGTTTCTTATATACCCCTGTTTGAATAATACCCACCTTCTGTTTTTATTTAATCTTTCAACATGATTAGATTTTAACGAGCATGCCCCATTACCGTACTTTCCTTTCGAGGTTGTTGTCCAGGCATGTGGCCGCGCGACAGCTATCGACAAATCATTGTTTGAGGAAAACCGTTGCCAGGGTCTCGACCATCCAAGGACCAAAGGCCAAACGGGAAATCTGAAACGTGAAACAAGCCTGGTGGAGAAAAATTCAGCTAGAAGTTCAAATAGAAACAAACCAGTCCCGAGGACTGAGCGCCAGTGTGCAGCAAATGTCACATATTTAATACTTAGTGCGAAGAACCCCTGGGCGGGCCATTGGATAATACTAATAAATATAAACCATGTCGTATCCGACCAATTCTGGAAAAATGTTTTACAAACGGAAATCATTATGGGGCAACAAGAAGAACAGACATTTTAAAGGGCTAAATGGATGATAAGTTTACCAACGTACAGTCAATTATTGCGCCTCTAACCTTGATATGCCTTGCATAATTTATGCATGGGCCAACGAAATAGTAAATAAGGGAAGACAAATACGCCGGCCTGAGGGCATAACAGGACAAAAAACTAAACCATTCAACTCAGAGCCGGGGTTGGCAGGCTCCAAATTTGCATATGTGGAATACAACTCTCTACGATATTCAAACCCCCAGCTGCGCTCATCAGACTGGGACGATTTAAAATAAATAAATAAAAAATAAATAAAAAAATAAATAAAAAAGATAAACAATAAACAAATGTACAGTACATATAATGGCACCATCAATATATAAACCTTGTTGGCTAAAGTAATCTATCAAAGAAAAGAAGAGAAAGATAAATAAAGGCAGAATAAGGCAGCCAAGAGACTGAGACAAGAAATGGCCGAAAATGGAATTCAGGGGATTTCGGAAAAGTTGATTGGGCGAGGAATAATATTCCGAGAACTGAAAACTGAACGTCTAGGTAGTTTTCCTTGGCCCGTACCCCTATATCCAAACTCCCTCAAGTCCCATACCTCCGGAAAACCAGATATCTTGCGCAAGAAGAATAGAGAAGAAAAATCGAGGTTGAAAAGCAAGTCATATCCCCGTCTCGAACTATTCGACGCTTCGGAATGGTGCACTAGTGAATGAATCGCTTTTTAATCCCCCGTAGCACTAAAACAGTCCATAGTCATACTGGTAGCCCTACCTAGGGTTGGAGGCTTTAAGGACTGTTGTAAAAATTTGAGCAAGGCATTACGGGTAACTTTTTGAGGTACCCTCCAGGAACCACGATGCTATAGTGCATTTCTTAATAGTAATAGCCTCCGGTGGGGATCGGATGCACTCTGGTGAGGAACCCTGAGGAAGTCGTAGGTTTGGCGCGAACAGTGGTCCCGGTAGGGTAAGGAGGCAGCGGGACTTTGACGGGAACACTAACTGAAGAAGTTGATGGCAGTGCAGAAGTCACGTCGTCGTCGTCATCACTTGGTGTAGTCGGATATGGGTGTGGTGTGACCACCTCTGTCGGTTTTGGGTTGTCAAACGTTGGATCAACAGCCGTTGGAGTAGCGGTCTATTTAACTATTGTCAGAAAAAGTGCAGCAGCAGAGGTCTATGACAAATCATACCACTGTGACTGCTTCCTCAGTAACAGTTACAATAACAACAGGTTTGCATGGGGAGCCACCAGGTCTGCCCGGCCGATTAGGCTTGCTGGGTTTACTGTTGCCAGGAGTGGGTGACGGTTCTAGGGTAATAGTAGTAGTTGTCGTCGAGGTTGTTGACAACGTAGTGGTGGAATCAGAGATAGGATCTACACCAGCGTCAGGGGGCTAGAACATCCAAGTCAGCAAGAGTGATTTCTTTCTCTTTGAGATTCATGGACATACTGGGGTGGGCTTCTGGTGTTGAGGAGGAACGCCAATGGTGACAGTTCGAGTGACCACGACTGTCTCGGTTCCAGTTCCGAGTGTGTAAGTCACAGTTGCTGTTTTCGAGCTGATGGGGCCTGGGTTATCAGCTGGAATGGTTGGGAATCCACTGGTAACCGAAGGAGGTCCGTAAGTTGGGGTTGCTTGGCTATCACTGGTGGAGCTGGTCTGGATGGGATTAACACCAGAGGCTGAGGACACAGGCAGAGGTCGAACCGTCACGGTGATTGGGCCGGAGTCTGAGCTGGCCGGGGGCGAATAGTCAGCTGGAATGCTGGTTGGGAATTCAGCTGTGACCGAGGGCGGTCCGTAGGTTGGAGTCACGTCGGTGGGAACCGAGTCGTCAGTCGGGTTACCAGTTGGGAATGCTCCTGTGACCGAGGGTGGTCCGTAGGTTGGAGTCACGTCGGTGGGAACCGAGTCGTCAGTTGGATTACCAGTTGGGAATGCATCTGTGACCGAGGGTGGTCCGTACGTTGGAGTAGCAAGGCTGGTGGGAATCGAGTAATCGGATGGAAGGCTGGCTGAGTATCCAACTGAGACTGTAGGAGGGCCGTAACTTGGAGTCACTTCACTGGTGCTGGTGGGTGAGCTGTAGGGGGTATCAATGGGATCAACGTCGCTTGAAACGGGCAGAATCGACATGGCTGGTGGTGGGCCTGATGGATATTGACCGGCAGCGTTTGCGTTTCCGTCGTTGGATCGAATCGAATCATCACGGTAGCCAAATCTCTTGAGAGGTTGAGCCTGGGTAAGAGCTGCCGCCGTTACGGTGGCAGCAATGGATAGCTTGCTGATGAAATGCATTGTGGAGACGAAATGGCAATCAATGCCACTTAAAATAAACTCAAAGAAGCAATCGTAAAACAGAAGAATTTGTTTGATGTTCTTTTTATCAATAAAAGAACAAAATCAGTACCGCAAATGTCGTCAAGTAATGACTGCGAAATCAATTCGCGAAGGGTAGTCCGTAAAGAACGACTGAATTGGGGAGAAATAACGACCCTGTCGCTAGAGTTCTAAAGGAATGTAGAACAGAAAAATCTGAACGAACAAAAGAGTGTGAAAACAAAACACTGAGAAGGTGAAAAAGGACAAAAAGAGAGAGAGAAGAAAATATAGAAACTCAGAGGAGAGGTGAGATACAAAAGGGCATTCGGATTTCGTCCCGTTTCTGAGAGTGGGACACTCTTTCTGCCGCTTTGGCAGACCATCATGCTAACAAGTGGAGCATTCCCAGCAAGCCCCATAGTCCCTGCAATTCGTTCTCATCGACGTTATTCGCCCAGGGGCCAAACCCCAACTGAAGTCCATGGCGGATGAGACATAAGCTCATTTCCTGGCCGGTTTAGGCGAGATACTCCGTACAATCGGGATACATAGCTGTTTTCCTAGTTCCAAACGAATAGCCGTAGTTGACAAAGGCCTATGATTTGTTGCAGAGAATTAATAGCAGGGTTGTGAAACTAATTCTGAATGCTCATTTGCATGAATTCCAACAGAAGTGTGATGATAGAGACTTGCCCAACCACCTCAACCTCGGGGTTGAAGTGGTCGGTATGGTATCGGGCAGTATAGGCGGGGACCTGACCTGACACACGGAGAATATATGCGCTAGCAAGGGGTTGAGTGAACCTCCAATTAGCGTCGTCTCTCAGCGTTAACTTTGATTGCAGGGACCAGCGCCAAGTGAGTCCCGTTGGACCTGGGCTTTTGGAGTGGCTTTGTTTGACAACGAAGCTGCCATAGCGAAGAACTCGGATCTCACAACTCAAAATTCCATGTTCTGGAATGGAGCTCGCAGAGAATTGTGCTGAATAACCGGGGAGAAGCGCTCTCAATCAAATTGGCAGGGTAGATCTTTATATCTTGGCCAGCATCATATCCAACCAAGGCAGGGCAGCCTCCCAGAGTCCGAAGAGTCCGAATATCTAAAACGCAAACTTGAAAACCGCACGAATGGTATGATGACAGAGCTGAGAAGGTCTCACCAGACCAGTTAATGTGCATGACGATTGGCGCGATCGATGAAACAATCCACAGAGGGTTGGCTCGACGTCGTGGGATAATGGCCAAGCATATACTCCGTATAACTGCTGCGTACATACCATACCCCTGGCCAGTAGCTAACGTCGCCAATCAAATATCGAGGCTTGCTCGAGCAAATCACAGTGGCTCAACGCGTCTCTGACATCATTGCAATTGCCGTCAAGTCCAGCATTCCCATCAGGCGTTCGGGAGAAGAGTTTGTTTTCCTTCATACTTCTAGGATGTAGATTTATTACTGGTAATAATGACCAAGCGGCACATGCATCTGTGAGGTATGATTTATTGGGGGGTCGCCACTTCAACATGGAATGTTTCGTTGCTGATGTTTGGACGGAAAACACAAAATGCGCGGGCTGGAACTCCGGCGTTTCGCGTGGGGCAGGGGATGTTATTATCGCATAATGTTAGTCACTCCAAGCCAATGCTCGTCAAATCAAGCTATCCATGTCAGACGCGGGAAGTACGGAGTTCAGATGAGCGGCGGCTGCTTGGTATCCCCATTTTACCACATTCATCAATTAGCGTGTCACCACTCAGCGACATCAATGTTTGTTTGTGATGAACCAACCTCGCCCACCCGTTGCATCGGCAGGCGTCACGGCGCGGGAAATGGGTCCGTTAATTGTTTCAACCGAATTTCGGGCATTTATTTAATGCTGCTACCGAAACCGAAATCCGTGGAATAATGGAACTCTTCCGATTCAGATGCACGCTGCCAGGCATTTAAGCTTGTGGTTATTCAGTGGGTTATCACGGAACGACGAACAATTTGTATGTCCATACCTCACATGTTGAGCAGTGTGCTCTCTTTAAGATTGTTATCGTTTTACTCTGCGTACTTTCAATTTCCCTCATAACTAACTACGAGTAGTTATCCACTACAGGTGGTGTCCGGGAAAATGCTCCTAAGGCTCCGGAAGTTTAACTTAACTTCAACACTAAATATTCTTACTTCCTGCTTATTATTGCCTGCTTTCAATGGGTGCAGTCAACATTTTTCGAGTGCAAAATGGGGTGAAGGGACATTTGACCAGTCAAAAACATTGTACACATCCATGAGCAGGTCGAAACCACCGATTCTACTACCACATTGCATCCTAGCTCATCCATGAGCAAAACGAAACCAAATGTTGGCCGATGAAAATAACTAGTATTCCGCTATTTAATCCGCCTTTTTCTCGAACAATCTCCTACTGTTGAAAACCACTACTGAAGTTCTTTCACCGACAATTCGCATACAGCTTGATTGCTGGAGTGCTAACTGCCGCCTAGTTATCTCCCGCACCTTGAATGAGAATGTCGGCCATTCCGCCAATACCATCGAGTCTCTCATGTTGGGTCATCAGGCCCTCATCTCCTAGTTTCTGCAGGACGTCCCCAATCCAGTTCTGGCAATTCTATCCATTCCATCTATTCGAGTCGTGTTGGCTGGGACTCGGGCGGCGATAGCACCAGCCACGTCGATACTTCGGTTTATTATGGCAATGTGCACAGAACCGGTCATGTTATCGCTATTCAAAGGGTCATAGCCTTGCAGCTGGTGAATGGAGAGATTTTTGGGGGGCGGCTAAGGCGTGAAGAATATTACCATTTGTGTCGCCTGGTAGGCTGAAGAAGACGGCAGCGTGGCAGTTAGGTATGGTGTCCTCCAAGACCCGCCTGCTCCAGACCAGGATGCGGATATAAGTCTCATCCATCGCTGGCAAGGCTAGCCCGGGATCGGGCCAATCGGCGTAATGAAGGTAAGCGTGAACACATACGCAAAGTATTCAATCACTCAACAGTGAAGAATAGACCAGATGATATGGACAAGCAACGCAGAAGGGGGTTATCTTCGGCGGGGGAAGGAGCTACATTTAATGGCTTGGGAGGCCACAACGATGCAGATAGTATGGATGCCGGATAGGCCAAATTCGCTCCAAGCCGACATTCGAATTCAACTGCAATTCAAGAAATGTCCCAGGTAGAGCAGTCCCAATGAGCAGCAAGCCTTGGACAATACAAGTGACGAGGAGCTGCAGCGGACAGGCCGGGAATCCGGACCTGCAACCAAACTATAGCATCCAGTTGCGCGTGTTGTTAGATGCCATTCTCACCTCCAAGTTGCAATACCAAACGTATCAATTGGTGATGCATCATGGGCCAGTCTACTCTAATCGTTGTTCCAGGGTGACGATTCAAGGCAACGGCGAAGGTGATGAGATCATACACAGAAACACTGCAACTCTGTTCCGTACTTGCAGAATCACTTTACCTCGCCAAGACTTGAGATGCCAAGATCTACGGCTCGGGAAATGATAATGAAGCCATTCATGGATAGCAGGTGGCATGATGCTAGCATGCTGTGAAGCATCAAGCGGGATGTTGGATCTACGATGTGAGGGTCCAGTTTAAATTATTTGGCCCATACTGAGGCTTATTGCAACGGCGTCCAGGAGCGCAGCCTATGTCCCGAGGTATCAATTTCACGCAAGAAACACACTTGATATCAATTATCAAATGCACAGGCTCAAGCAAATATATGGTACCAGCAAACTCAAAAAAGTTCTCTAACGATGAAGTACAAACTGCCTAGATAGCTGCGCAAAAAACGGGAGGAAGAAGCAAAGCCCTCATTCAGACAAAGCTGGTGGATGAATGGTCTGCCAACTTGGTCAGGCGCTTCAAGCCTTACAATGTATACCATTGCAAGATACTCCTCACATTGGTTCGGGAGAACGGAAAGGAGGAGATTCGCATATTCGGGCATCTGCTTCGTAGATAGCATGTCTATGAATATCCGCACAGCATCCCAGTACTCCGGAAACCGTCCTGCCCACTCCCAGCCAAAAACCGCTGTCACTTGACCGGCCTCATCGACCAGCATATTCCTGGGACTGAAGTCGTCGTGAGCAAAATGGATAGTATGATTGTGGCAGGGATATTCCTAAGCATCTGACGCCATAAAGCGGTTGAAATCATTCTCGCTCTCAAACGGCCCACTCCAGCGGGAATAATTAATTGCCTCAATTTATTTGCCTGTTAATTGCCGAAGCTCCTCAAGGTAGCCAGCAATCTGGCGGCAGGTGTACGCTCGACGGCCCTGGGTTAAATACATCCAAGCTTTGTCCAGCGGCTCGCCGTGCATATAGTCTATGACAATATAGAAGGTTTTCCGCACCTCGACAAGCTTGATCTTGTAGGTCTTTGACACAGGAGTGATTGCGTTGACAGCAATGAAGTTCATAATATCACGTTCGAGAACATTACATCCTTCCTCCACTACTCGATGTTCATCCAAACGGATTGCGCGGGAATTCCTAGTATAGAGCTGGAGATATCCTGATCGTAGCTGTCTATAATTTTTTGATTGGTTTATGCGTGACTGCACTGCGAAGCAGAAACAAGACGACAATACAGAGTGCATTTCCGAGTGAATGAGTTCATCCAAGAGCCACTTCAATGTATGAATAGAACATTCAAAAAAAATTAAATTAAAATTAAATTAAATTGAAACTAGTTTGAACGGAATGAATGAGGGATGCTGCTAGAAAAAAAGGAAGCACGGCGGCGTAAGCATTGACGACCGCGCTTGGCTCTATCGTTAAGCTTTGGAAAGGCTCAAAAAATGTGCTCTTTTTTTTTTTTTTGAATTATTCTGAGGACGCTATATGATACTAACATATTTCATTATTTTCAGCTAAAATATGTACAGTGGGTGAAGTTATTTTTATATCACTATTTAAGCTTTTGGCGTGTATATCAGCCAAGGAACCTCGCTAGCACAGAATGTATGTATCTATTCAGATCAGTTAAACCCACTCGAATATTTAGCTTTCCTGGATAGAAATAACAACGCCTGGCAAAACGAAAATAACTCTGGTAGTAGAATATTCCAGAATAATAATAATTTCCCGTCCTGAACAATTCCCACGGCTTTCCTATTGTTATTGGCACAGCCTTGAACACCCACTTCTTACCCATGGCGCCTAAGCTTGAAGTTCGATCTCTACATCACCTGCGGCAGACATATCATACCTCTCTCCATGATTTCATTTCATCTTCAGATGGTTTCCGGGTCCTGGATACAGTGCCCGCAAACAAACTCCAGGCAGGACGGCCAACCAAGCTCTATGTGTTGGACTCATCTTTCAACCCTCCAACAAAAGCCCACCTCAGCATCGCCAAATCAGCCCTGCGCCAGCATGAGTACATACCAGCTGTCAGACTCCTGCTTCTTCTTGCTACACAGAATGCCGACAAGCCTTCCAAGCCGGCTTCATTTGAGGATCGACTCGTCATGATGCGGATATTTGCCGAAAACATTCAGGCCGCCGTCACCCAAGCCATCGTCAGCCGTGATAATGCTCAGGGAGGCCAACAGAGCGCACCAACTGTCGATATCGGAGTAACCAAGTTACCATACTTTATAGACAAAGCGGCGGCTATTTCCACATCGGATTTCTATCCAGGTTCGCCTGAACAGATTCTCCTTACGGGATACGATACACTAGTTCGAATCCTTGATACCAAATACTATCCCCCCGAACATACTCTTCAGCCCCTAGGCAAGTTCTTCGGCCAGCATAGATTAAGAGTGACGTTCCGGGAAGATTCGGAGTGGGGCCGGCGAGAGGATCAGGAATTATTTTTACAAACTCTAGCCCAAGGGGCCCGGGAACACGATGGAGGTAAGCGAGAATGGGCTGAGCGTATCGAACTGGTTGAGGGGGCGAAACCTGGGGAAGAAGCTGTGAGCTCAACGAAAGCTAGAAATGCGGCGATGAATAACGATGTCGATGCCCTAGAAAGATTTGTCACGCCCGATGTTTGCGACTGGGTAATATCCCAGCGCTTGTATGTTAGTTCATGAATGTGATGGTTTTGAATGACGCGATTTACTCTATCTACGCATCCTCTCGTCTACTCGTCTACGTACTTCCTTTAGGCCGGCTCTTTTCCGCAGGGCATTAAGAGTAACGGGCGGTTGCATCCCTCTTCTGGATGAAGGAGGAATAACGGTGATATCTAGACATTGACGTTACGATAATGGTTCAATGACCCGTAAGACTGCTCATGCAATCCCGATAACAAACACTGGTCGAGCCTGCACAATGACACACTGGTCGGCCAAGGTATTAAAAGCTCGTGGATTCTACAACCGATGTGAATACCAGCTTAAAGCCATCCAATATATACATGAACCACACGTTGCAGAAAACCAGAACCCAGCCCGAAAACATGCCCATAACACCATCAATGCCATAGCTATGAAGTTAATCCATACTTAAAAAAAGGGGGTCCAAAATGCCTCCACAAATGCTTCTGACTTCTGGTTGCTCAAACACTTAACCCCTCTCCATCTTCATCCCTCCTCTTCCCAAGCATATAAACCAACCCACCACTAACCATATTGGTAAACCCCAACCCCATAGCAGCACCCCTCACAATCCCTCTAGCGTTCCACTTTTTCATGAATGGTTGCTTCCTCTTCGCGGCCAGGAGCAAATATAAACCCGACCATGCGGCACTCACGCCCGCCGCATCGACCTTGTAGTCAAGTAGATTGAGGTATGTGGTGAATAGGAGAGCTGGTGGGAAGATCATTGGTAGAGGCTGGAAGGGACGCATATGTTGGGCCGCGATGAGCGTCGCGAGGAGAGTGGGTGGGAAAGAGTTTTCTAAAACATGATGCTCAGTTAGCGCTGAAGATTTACCAGCGGATTTTCAACAAGGGACCTCATCAATGAGTGTGGACGGTATTATTGAGGGTCGTTTCGCTTACCTCCCCATGCGCGTGCATATTGCATGAGCGATTGATTTTTTGGGGGTGGGTTACTCCCTTCTTGCGTCATTGTGGCCAGTCAACACTTCAGGAAATATGGGTAGGCTTCAAGTTATGTTCTGCGTCGTCAAAAGCAGGTATTTTGCGGGAAAAATTTCTCTGCTTAAAATATCGTCGGAGGGGTAAGGGTATTTAAATTTAGGACTCTCTGATCTGGGGTATTTTAGCAGGAGGTGGAACAACAACTTTCATCGATAAATAGGAGCTTGAGGCTGCCAATCGACAACCAAAAGCTTAAAATTAATGAAAGCGGCCCGCGCTTAACAGCCGCGATGAATGTTAGCCGCGACTTGATACATCGTTTCCAGACAAACCCAGACAACGACGCAATTTGTAACTATAGACCATCAACAGCAATGGTGTACAAGGATTGCCGTAGTTGATGATTGTGTCAATGTTATTGCCAGGTAAGAGTGAAGATTGCAAACTGGAAAGCATATATATTCGATAAACAGCTGAGCATGCACACAACGGCCCGGCTAAGCAACATAACCAATTTAGCAATATTCATAGCTATCTAAAATCCAAACCCTTGACTTTTGAGCAACCCATCGATTTTTCCTTTTTAACCATGGACTCAAGCTTGCTTTGAAAACATGTTACAAAACGAATAGTTAAATCACGTGATCTCAAGCCACGATGGTCCCAAATCCGTTGTGAGCGACATCAGACATCAACCATGAACTCTTTAAATATCTTGCGGGAGATTTGTAACGCAACAACATCTCCGGGTCTCGAATATATACCCCCCGCAGAATCCTCCCTCGCTACATAGGATACGGTAGCAACCGCCTCTCCCACTCGCTGTGGCGGAGATCTAGCGCGATCCTGCCCTTTCGATCTTTTTACGTCCTCTCTCCTGGGCTTTGAGGTCTCCACCGTCCCCTTCATTCAGCTTCAGACGTTTACACCCCATATATTCCACGGCGGGCCTCAACCACGATCCTAGAAATAAGATGTCATCTGCGACGGCATCCGGTGCGGATGCAAAGCCCAACGGCTCAGCGAAATCCAGAGAGCATAACCAGGGTAACCAAGACCGGAAATTCACACCCGAACAGAAAGCGGCCGTACTACGTGTTCGGAAATGTCCACCAACAGCGTTCTATGAGATTCTAGGTCTAGAGAAAACTGCGACTGATGGAGAGATTAAGAAGGCCTATCGGAGACTCAGTTTACTAACACACCCCGACAAGAATGGTTACGACGGAGCAGATGAGGCGTTTAAGAGTATGTTTAGTTTATATTCATATCTCGATCTCCGCAAATATTCTATCTTATAGGTTGGCCTATGTATTAAATATGGAGGCACATTTTCTTAACAATTCGGTGAGCCCCACTAATATGTTCTTACGGTCTATTTTAGTGGTATCCCGAGCGTTTCAAATACTATCTGACTCGGAGAAAAAATCAAAATACGACAAGTTTGGCGGAGATCCAGATAACAGATTTTCACCAGGAGCTTCCTCGTCATCTTCACCGTTCAGCGGGTTCAGCGGGTTCCCGCAAGGGGGAGGTAGAGGGCCTATGTTTGACGAGGAAATATCACCAGAGGAGCTATTTAACAGATTTTTTGGAGGCGGCGGTTTCGGGCCTTTCGGTAAATAAGCCTTATCCTATATCAACATCGTTGTGGTTGTATGCAACTGCTAATTAAAGTAAATAGGCGGAGGAATGTTTAACAGCGGCCCGCAATTTGTTTTTAATATGGGTGGAGGCCCCAACATCCGAGTGCATCAATTTGGCGGCTCACGACCTCGACGAAGACCGCGTGAGGCGGATAATCATTCTGGTGGCCAGGATCCCCCTGCCAGCATGGCATCATTTGCACAGTTTATTCCAATCCTTCTCATATTCCTCCTCCCACTCCTAACCTCTCTCTTCTCCGGTGCGACATCGTCTGGACCTTCTCTCCGATTCGACAGGGCTGTACCACCCCACACGATGCACCGAACAACACCCAAACTCAAACTCGACTATTTCGTAAATCCCGCTGAGGTGGAAGATTACAGTGCGCGCAAGTTCTACCAACTTGACCAGAAAGTTGAAGTGGATTATGTATCAAACCTACGCTATGACTGCGAAAGAGAAGTTCAAGCGCGCGACCAGATGATACAAGATGCCCAAGGTTGGTTCTTCCCGGACGTTGAGAAACTCAAGGAGGCACGCTCGTTGGAGCTTCGGAGTTGCAAGAAGTTGAATTCCCTAAAGCTTTGAATGGGGATTTGATAAGCGAGCATTTCCCCATTCACGCTCGTTGTTGCACTGATGATATGAATAGACAATAACATTCTGTTTTATTTTGTGTATGATCGGGGTTGGGCGTTCCGCGACTAGCATCATTACCCAGGGATATATACTAATTTTTGCTCTTCTCATTTCTTGTCTCATTTTTCTCTTACTTTTTTGCTAATTCGTTTTGCCTTGTATCTCATGGCATTATTTGATAAGCCTTTTGAATTGCGTAAATCATTTGAACATACTTCCTACTTGATTTTCTAACATTATAGTATTATATTGAGACTTTTTTTATATCTAATTGCTACTCTGATAATCAAAGCCGTATCGATCATCAAAAAAGCGAACGTAGGCGTCGGCGGAACCTTCTACTTTAGGCTAGACTACCGGATAAACTTTACCCGCGGGGCAATGAGATAATCGCAGCTTAGTCAAGTATCATCAGGCTTCAAAGCATTATTCGGCCGCCGCAGCGATGGTATGCTCCACGAAGGGAGTAACAAATATCCTTAGTCTCCTGTTTGTTGCAGCTGCGAATGTGCTGAAACATTCGACATAAGCTAGATTTATTAGATATAACTTACGCAAGCGAACCCGGAATCTAATCATGGCGGACTCTGTTGATGCGGACAAGGTAGTACTCCCCATACATCCCCGTACCCATAATATCGATATCGCGCTCGTCGTTTCTCTCAATATTCCCACTTCATTTAGCATTCGCCACTGACCACTATGACTACCAGATCCGCAACAAACGACTAGCCAAGCTTGGATCTCAAGCGTCAAGTACAGCTCAATCAAACTCTCAGCAGTCGGGTGACAAAGATTCAGAAACCGGAACCTCATCTCCTACTTTGCAGGAACCGGAACCTCAAAGCCCACAGATTAATATTTCGAGCGGGCTAGCTCCGTCATCATCACATCCCCCAACACCACCGCAGCCAGATATGCAACAGCCCAACGAGGGGGCACCCCGAATACGAATCAGACCTCCACCGTCACAAAGCAAGACAGAGTCTTCTGGCGCTCCGAGCACCAGCACATCTCGGATACCGCCACGACCTAGTGAGACAATCGAAGACTTCGAGGACAAAACTTTAAGAGCTGTATTTCGAGTTACGCTGGATGAAGGTCGACGTGTCGATGTTCACGGGCAGACACTTAGTTATCTTGCTGGGCTGAGCCAAGAGCTGCAGGAGCAAGGTCAGGCGCTCCGTATCAGTATTGACGTTCTAGACCAGGCACTTCTAGAAGCCGCATCTAATACCCACAATGGAAATCCAATGGGATACTTGCTCCCGTGTTGGAAGAGGGTAACGAGGCTATATAAAGGGTTCCGAAAGCAGAATGCGGATGACCGCAAGTATGTCATAGTTTCGGAGGCAAGGCGGCTGTGTATGAGCTACTGTATTTTTGCGGTGACCATGCCAGAAATGTTTGGGTATGTGCCTTTCAGAAGTATTTCGATAAACTCGCAAATTTCTAATGAAATTGTTAGTCTTGATACTGCTCCCTCTTCTGCGCTAAAGTCTCACCTCCTTAAAGATCCAGAGGATGACTTGGGGTTATGTCATGACTTTATTACAGAAGCTATTAAGAGATCGAATGAAGATGAAACAGTTCTTCCAGCTTTTGTTGGCGCTGTCGAGGAAATGAGCCACGACCTTTCCAAGTTAAACATAAATATGGACTACAAGCCCTATGTGATGGTATGTTGAACAATTGCTTTGTAACTCAATTTTTATGCTCAGTATGATGATAGGCACTGCGAAACCTTGTTCGGTTCCCTCCTTTGGCTATCGCCATAACTGAGTCAGAGTTGTTTAACGCTCCTGTCGATGTTGAAAAGTTCGAAACTGCAACACTTCTGGGCCCCTGGTTTCGACTGTCTCCTCTACACCGTGATGTTCCATTGAATTATTTTGCAAGCCCTAAAACTCTGGATCAGGGGTCTATTCTCAATTCGCAAAGAGCCGTGCGCATGATGCAACAATTACTTAATTCAGATCTGTTGGATATCATCAACCAGCTTGTCCGAGCTTCGAAGCCCGCAAGGGAACGTGTCCTCGACTGGTTTGCCGCGTCAGTTAATCTCAACCACAAGAGAAGGGCGCTTCAAGTTGACCCTAAGACTATCTCTTCGGATGGTTTTATGTTCAATATCACCACATGCCTTGACCAACTCTGTGAACCTTTTATGGATGCAGCGTTCACCAAGGTGCCCATCCCCCCACCCTTCATGCTATCACTAGTTGGTTATAATGCACGTTTTGCTGACCTTGGTAGATTGATCGCATTGATATCGGCTATCTGAAACGGAATCCGCGAGTTCACATGAGAGACGAAACTAAGATTAATGCTGATCAGCACGCCTCAGATGCATTTTATGACCAAGTCGAGGAAGGAACATCAAATTTTATTACCGAAATATTTTTCTTAACTGCTGCTGCACACCACTATGGAAGCGAATCTTTAACGACCAAGCTGGAACAACTCGAGAAGGACCTTCGCCATATGGAGGCCCAAATCGATAAATTTGAACTCGAGAGACATAAATGGAGGTCTAATCCAGTGCAACTCAGAATGTTCGAAGATGCGCTGAAGAAGTACAAAGACAGACTTGATCTTGGTCTTTCGTTCAAGTACACCCTGCAGGGCATCTTACTGGATGAGACATGGCAAGCCCGGTCCATGCAATTTATGCGATACGTTATTGTTTGGCTATTGCGAATTGCATCAGGACGTAATCTCCCGACCGAAACTCTGAAGCTACCGCTTCCCGAAAACCAACCGGAGAATTTCAAATGCCTCCCTGAATACTTCGTGGACGATGTTGTCAGCAGTTTCAAATTTATCATGTGGAGTATGCCCCATGTGGTAACCTCCACACAGGGGGATGAGTTGATTATGCTATGCATCACGTTTCTACAGTGTTCAGAGTATATCAAAAACCCATATCTTAAAGCTGGATTGGTTACAATACTTTTCAGAGGGACCTGGCCACGGCGTAATGGTTCCAGGGGCGTTCTTGTTGACCTTCTCAACTCCTTACCTTTCGCCACAGAGCATCTTCTTCACGCTCTGATGAAATTTTACATAGAAGCAGAATTCACGGGGACACACACGCAATTCTTTGATAAGTTTAATATTCGGTACGAGATATTCCAGATTATCCAATGTATCTGGCCGAACACGGCCTACCGAGACAAGCTTCATAATGAAGCCAATCGAAACCTAGATTTCTTCGTTCGCTTTGTTAACCTCCTCTTGAATGATGTTACGTTTGTACTCGATGAATCGTTTTCGGCGTTCTTGACGATTCATGATCTTCAAGTCGAGCTTGCCCGTGAAGGATCAAGTATGGAGCAGAACGTTCGGCAACAAAAAGAAGAGCAACTTTCTGCGGCACAAGGCCGAGCAAAATCTTACATGCAGCTCACAAATGAAACGGTAGCCATGCTTAAACTTTTCACAGAGGCATTGGCAGAGTCTTTCACAATGCCTGAGATCGTACAGCGCCTGGCTGACATGTTGGATTACAATTTGGACGCTATGGTTGGCCCTAAGAGTGCAAACCTTCGAGTAGCCAACCTGGCAGAGTACGGCTTCAATCCACGCGTGCTTCTAAGCGAAATTGTCGATGTGTACCTGAATCTTATGGACAAGGAAAACTTCATCATAGCCGTTGCCCGTGATGGCCGGTCCTATAAACCATCAAACTTTGAGAAAGCAGGTGAAATTCTGCGTAAATGGGCTTTGAAGCCACAGGAAGACCTCGCCAAGTGGGAACGGTTACAGACCAAGTTCAGGATTGCCAAGGAGGCGGATGAGCAGGCTGAGGAGGATCTTGGAGAAATTCCTGATGAATTCCTAGGTTTGTTTAACGTTAACCATTTTCCTTTGCTGCCACAGCTGACTGACATAAAATACCCTTTGAAAACAGACCCCTTGGTGTATACTCTCATGGAGGATCCTGTTATTTTGCCCAGCTCCAAAGTTTCCATTGATCGTTCCACCATTCGATCCCACCTGCTCAGTGACCCGAACGATCCATTCAACCGATCTCCGTTGAGCATTGAGGATGTTATTCCAGGTGAGTATTTTACAGATTGCCAATTTCTAATCTCTAGAACACTCTTGCATATTCTGTAATGCTGGGGCTGACACACCAGCTTCTTTCTGCGAATTTTAGATACGGAAATGAAGGCTAAAATAGAAGCCTTTAAAGCCGAGAGAAAGGCTGCGAAAGTGGCAGCAGTGACTTCTTCCTCTTTGGAGCGCATGGATACGACTGATGGTTAATCGGGAGGCCTTACCCTAACTTCAAGTTTTTGGTTTTTTGTCTGTTGATTTACTTCTTTTACCTCACCCGAAGCTGCCTCCGTTATTTTATACAGCGGTTCTAGAACTCCCTGTTATGCACAAGTCTTCAATGCCATGACTTCATGATTAGAAATTTGCGTGCCATATAATTATTCCCCCAATATTATTTTTTCCCCTTCTTCTCTTGCTGTTTCTGAGGCACGCCGAGAACGTCTAATTTGGCTTTTTATGCGAGTTGCTTAAGTTTACTAGGCATATATTGCGTGGGGAATATTATCTTTTGTCTTTGCTTTCCATCGGGAATGGGAGTCTGCATGAATACTCCATCCAGCCTTGATGATTTTGACATTAGATGTCCCTGCTTAGTCTACTCCAGTTAGGTCTGGGACAGAGGGTTTCCTTTTAATTTTATTTTAATTCAGTCGTTTTATGTTTACGCTGTATAGTTTATATGAATCATCCCTGCACTTGGTCCGTAGCTCTGAAGTGAACGGAATAAAGCAATAACGTTTAGATCTAAGTGCTCACGGTTGAGTGACTAATTAGGTGGAGATATTCGTTGTTGATATATATATATATATAGGTAACCAAACCAAAAAAATAAAGAGCAAAAATTAGTTATTTAAGTTCCTTATCATGTAACTATTCAATGCCCGTTGCAATCCCGGAATTTTTTATATTAATATTGAGCTAGTTATTTATGCAAGCTATTGAAGCATTGCGGCTTGGCCATGATATCACTTTCGCCAGTTCAAAACCTCCTCCGCTCGTTCCAGATTATTTAATTGCTGTATTTATATCTCCTCCTACACTAACAACATTCCACTCCAGGTAAATTGCACTCATTACCTGTCACCCAAGCTATGGACACTCTTATAAACTGGAGTACTTCCCTCCCACCGCTCCAGGAGTTCCTCCCTCCTGTGTCTCCAGAAGCGTACATCGTCCTCCTCTCAATATTCCAATACTTCCCTATGGTAAGACTGCTACACAACGCCTCATCCGGACTCCCAAGCTCGACGTAGCTCTTCTGTGTCAAATCAAAAAGAAGTGCTAACCTTCCCCTTCAAAAGGTCGCCCTTATCCAACTCGCAACTCCTTTTTATCCGCAGGGGAAAACGTCCCTCCCTTCCTCACGCCTAAACTTCCCCGGCCGATACGCATGGCTCTGCATGGAGAGCGTCGGTGCCCTTAATCTCCTTTACACCCTCTACACGGGTATTTCCATGTTCCCCGACGGCCAGTTCCCCAGCTGGCATAAACTCGTCGCATGCATCTATGTCCTCCATTACCTAAACCGGGCCGTAATAACACCCCTTTTCCTCGCGCCCAGCATGTCGCCAATTCACCTGATCATTATCCTTTCGGCTATGGCATTTAATTACCTCAACTCGAGCTGTATAGCAGGCTGGTTGTTGGGTTACGGGACTCCAGTCCTGGGGTCAACTGCGCCGCGACCACAGCAAGCACACCTCTCACGGACCTCAAGTTTCTCCACCACATACTTCCCAGCGGAATACATACCCTATATTGGACTATGCCTATTCCTAATAGGAATGTACGGCAACATCAAAGCGGAGGGAACCTTATTCCGCCTACGGAGAGAGGAAGCCGATAAGAACAGTAACAATAACAGCAACAACCCCAAAACCGCCCAAACCCCCAAAAACAAATACGACAAAGTCTACGTCCTCCCCCCTGCCACCGGCTTGTTCCGCACAATTCTCTTCCCCCACTACGTCTTCGAATGGATTGAATGGCTCGGTTTTCTCCTGATAGGCGTCTCCATTACTCCAGCTCCCGCCTCCGAAGCAACTGCCGCCACCCCCGCCCTCGTCCTGGCGCCTTACTATGCACCTCTCGCAAACCTCCTGCTAGATAAATTGGGCCTGCCATTCCCCCTCCCCGCAATCGCATTCCTCGTAAACACAGTAGCGACGACGTCGGTGCGCGCGAGCTGGGGCCGGAAGTGGTATGTAGACCGCTTTGGGGCGGAGGCGGTGGGGAGACGCGGTGCGTTTGTGCCTTATTTTAAGTGGCTGTGATGACACCTTAATTATCTATTTATTCATTTAATTATATTTACATGTATTTTGAGCTAATGGGACGGAAAGTACTTTGTCTATGTTTTATTTACATTACTGCATAATATTCTGGCAGGAAGATGTTATGGAGTAGGTTCGGCGGAAGGAATACTCATTGGGCTGATGAGAGAAACAATATATTAATTCTATAGACTAAGTTACACTGAAATAGACAAAAACACAGATAAGGAAGAAAAGGAAAAGAATATTAAGAGCAGAGACTCATCTGGTTTCTTATAAACAGGCAAGCAGATAATGAAATGAACAGTGACAATTGAATAAATAATAATTAAAATGAAAGTAAAGCTCAGTCTCAAAATAAGAATAATTGATGATATATTTTTTAAGTATTCATAGATAATGTTAAAATAATAATAAGCTCATCATAGCTGTGTTACTCTCACTGTAAGAAATAAGAAATATATCTATTATAAAGACTGAGAAATAATTATTGATTTTTTTTTTTTTTTTTTTTTTTTTTTTTTCAGTTAAAATTTTCATCTGTATTAAGAAAAAATAAACAAAGGATGATTCACGAAACCATATGAAAATAATCCAGCCGCTTTAGTTTCTTCTAGACTGAAGTAGGTCTAATGAAGAAGAGTTAGGGAAATTGCTGTGGAATACCTACGGGATTTCACTGGTGCTGTCGAATGAAACCTTTACGCTGTATCTAGAATATGTAAACTTGCTTTTGTTATATTTATCAAGCAGACATATATCCCTTTTGATCATAAATCCCGCATAACTGTGAAATTATCAAAAAAGAATTGAGGGGAGGATAAGATTGCTCGTGTCAGCGAATTCACTAGAGAAAGAGAAAGAATCCACAGTTAAATTAAGAAAGGCTAATAAAAACACAATAAAGATTACAAAAACGCCGATGTTGAGATCGTGGGTATGTTTGTGAACTTTTCTAGCTCTCCTACCACATTGTCCCCCTAGGGTTGAGTCCCAGCTCGCCTGGAACACCGAATGAATGCATGCATGTTAAAACATTCCTCATTGTTTGGTGAAATAAGTCGTCTCTATAACTCATAATCATTAATCTCCGTCATATCCTAGTCGCACGTGTTGAGCGTAATTGCGACGGTTAAATCCTGCCTGGCTGTTGCCTTTATTTAGCATACTTTTGGCGGAAGTACTTGGCAGCATTGACCATGTTGGTGAGGGCTGCCTTGGTTTCTGGCCATTGTCTTGTCTTCAAACCACAGTCGGGGTCGATCCAGAGTTGATCTGGTCGGAGATACTGAAGCTCCTCCTCGATACGATCCTTGATTTCCTGCTCGCTTGGGACACGAGGGGAGTGGATATCATACACTCCAGGGCCAATGTGTCGTGGGTAAGCCTCGTCGACGAAGACCTTGAGAAGCTTGGCATCGCTCTTGCTATTCTCGATACTGAGAACATCGGCATCAAGGGCAGCAATGGCATGGAAGAAGTCTTGGAACTCGGAATAGCAGAAGTGAGAGTGAATCTGGGTGCTGTCCTCGACTCCGGATGTGGCAAGGCGGAAAGCCTTGACAGCCCAGTCGAGGTAGGCTTCACGCTCCTTTCCGGATCGGAGTGGGAGACCTTCACGAAGAGCGGGCTCATCGACTTGGATTACAAAGATACCAGCAGCTTCCAAGTCAATGACCTCATCACGGAGAGCAAGGGCGAGCTGCTGAGCTTGCACAGACTGGTGAACATCATCGCGGGGGAAAGACCACCGCAGACAGGTGATCGGACCAGTGAGCATGCCCTTCATTGGCTTCTTGGAGATAGAAGCAGCATACTTAGACTCCTTGACGGTCATAGGCGCAGGGCGCGAGATATCTCCAACAATGATGGGAGGGCGGACACAGCGGGAACCGTAGCTCTGGACCCAGGCATGGGTGGTAAAGACATATCCAGTCAACCTCTCACCGAAGTATTGGACCATATCATTACGTTCCGGCTCTCCATGGACAAAGACATCCAGATCAAGCTCCTCCTGGATCTTAACGACGTCCTGGATTTCCTGCTCGATGAACTTTTCGTAATCCGCAGCCGTAATCTCGCCCTTGGTGAATTTGTTCCGCTGGATCCGGATGTCCTTGGTCTGAGGGAAAGATCCGATGGTCGTGGTGGGGAACAGGGGCAAGTTGAGCTTTGTCTGTTGTTGGCTAATTCTTGTTGGGAATGGGGACTTGCGGTCGTGCATCTCGGGAGTAACAGCATCCTGTCTCTCCTTGACCTTGGAGTCATTGGTCCGCTTGGACGAAGCACGGGCTTGGATGGATTTGGCGTTAGCCTCAAGCTGCTCGCGCACAGCAGCAGGGCCTTCAGTGACAGCCTTGGCAATAATAACAACCTCGGTAGCCTTCTCAACAGCGAAGCTGAACCAATCCCGAACCTCTGGATCAAGGTTCTTCTCGCTTTCGAGGGTATGGGGGGTGTGCAGAAGCGAGCTCGAAGTGGCAACAAGAACTCTCTCCTTGCCAAGCTTTTGGATAGCAGTCTCAACGATCTCAATTGCTCGCTTGAAGTTGGTCTTCCAGATGTTGCGTCCATCGACAACACCAGCAGATAGAATCTGCTTGGGTCCGAGGGCACTGATCACGGTGTCGAGTTGCTCTGGGTTGCGGACTAGGTCGATATGAATTCCATGGAGGCTTTGGAGGGATGGGAGGACGTCAATGTTGTGGACGATGTCACCAAAGTACGTGGCAAGGACCAAGCGAGGTGCCTTGTCACCAAGGGAGCCCAACTTCTCATAACTGGTTTTGAAAGCGGCCTTGGTCTTCTCTGGCAAATCAAACACCAATACAGGTTCATCAATCTGAACATCCTCAGCTCCAGCAGCCTTAAGCTGGGCCAGCAGTTCAACGTAGAGAGGGACGAGTTTATCAATGACGGAGATGGGGTCGATGGTCTGGTCACGGTCGGCCTTGGCGAGAGCAAGGAACGAAACAGGACCCAGAAGAACTGGACGGGTCGTAATCCCAGCCTCCTTAGCTTCTTGGAATTCAACAACCGGTTTGGGATTGCTTGAAAGAGTGAAAGTCTGGGTGTCCTGTAGAGTAGGCTTAACATAGTGGTAGTTCGAGTCGAACCATTTCACCATTTCCTGGAATGAATTTTGTCAGTAACCAGGAATAGAAGGAGATGCTCGGGTAATGGAGTCTTACCAAACTGGGAACGTCGACAGCAGGTTCGCCATCCTTGGCAGGTCTCTGCAAGCCTCGTCCCATGGCGAAGTATTCGTCAACAGGGTGGAGGCCATATTTAGAGTATCTCTCAGGAATTACCTGTTTGAATATTCTGTGTCAGCGATCTCAAGGAACTGGAAGTCAAGGGAATTGACGAAGTAAACATACACCAAAGAGTTGGATGTGGTCGAGAACTTGGTCGTAGAGAGCAAAGTCATTGCTGGGGATGAGATCAACACCGGCAGCCTTCTGGATTTGCCAGTGCTCAAGACGGAGTCTCTTGCCCTCGTTGAGGAGATCCTCGCGCGAGAGCTTGCCTCCCCAGTATGCTTCAGTGGCCTTTTTCAGGTCTCGAAGACGTCCCATACGGGGGAAACCGAGAACAGAGCTGAGACTCTGGTTAGTACTTAAGTGTATACAGTGAGCAATTGACGAGGGTAAAGTGTGCTTACGATTGAACCATTTTCACTATGTTTCTCTAGCAATTGGTTCCTAAAAAAGATATGAGGTGGATATGAAACAGAACAGAGTATTGTCTATGTTACCCTGACGCACAGTAGGGTAATTGTAGAGTGGATTGATGGGAGAAGATAGATAGAAAAGGAGAGAGGTTTGTGAAGGTGAAGAGATGGGAGGTTGAGGATGGAGGGGAGAAAAACTAAGGGAAAAAAAAAAGCAGTTAAGAGCAGCGAAAAAGGAGGGGTGACGCTGCTTAGTCAAACTCAATTGGCGGGCGGTGGAGGCATCGCGGCATTCTGATTGGCTGAGATCCGTAGCTGGTCACGCCATCGAGTAGGCTCACGTGATGAGCGAAATCGGGCATGGCGGGGCATTCTGTCATGTGATATTCATACCCTCCAGTATCGTATCTATCCTGTCCAGCATCAATCTCAACAACACCCCCTAATGCAAGGGAAACAGTGCAACAGAAGGCATTGTTTTGGCTCTTGAATATATATCCAAACTTTAATCACCTGCGGATCTAGAGATTTTCGCCTGAACGCATGCACAATCATGCTTCGAAGGAGCTCGAGCTGCTTGTTTTGCCTGGTCATCCATCCTATCAATACTATATACTACTGCTACTTGCTTGCACCTATTACAGGCCTCTCCTGATATCATCAAGTATCGAGTTGACTATGGGTGATATACATGACAGATGACATGTAGACGTCACGCAGCGCTGAATGCCTCTTCCTACATTTAACCACGTCTCAACCTATATACAGTTGTGATATAGAAAGTGCCAGTCTGGACTGGCCACTATCAGGACAAGCATGACAAGAACGATATGTTCTTTCTCGGCTGATTTCCTTTGCAATGTTTATTGCAAAAGTTTTCCTTATTTTGGAAAGAGAAACTGCCCTACCATTATATGCGAGGATGCTTGGGTTCCTTCCCCTGTCATGCTCTGCTAAACAGATGCTATTTACGCGGTTATTTTGTTCTATCTGCCATTTTAAGTCTCCTTGTGTCAACTCAAGGGGAATGCTATTTATTTCGTACTGAAGTGTTTGAACAGACCCAGCTCACTCTTTGCTCCCCTAGTTTGGTCCGAGTCAGACAGGCTCTCACATTTCTTTCTCCTTATTTGACTTAGACTACTATTTAGATTTGAAAGAGCTATAGTTTCTCTATATTGCGTGTTACAATGGTTTTCAGTCCATGTCCTCGCAGTCAGCGATCGAAGGGGCCAGCATCTACTGCTCAAGGCACCTCGCCTCCTGATGATCGAGCCCAAGATCTTCCCACCCGACCAAGTTCCACCGCTATGGGTAATCTAAGTGAGGAAAGACTTGCCCTTGAGGCAATTTTCCGTTCTTCCACACCCCAAGCGGGGAACGCTGAGGCAGATATTATTCCTGAAGCCCATCACCATCCACGGACCGCGGCCAATCGAACGAAACAAGTCTACCCCAAGGCCAGCCGGATTAGTTTAATTCAGCTATCTCATAAGATTCGAAGGAAACTCTCTAGGGAATCGACGATGCCGAAAAAATCTTCCACAAAATTCAAGGAACGTGGACATACGCTCCAAAATGGTGACCAAAATGTAAATCCCGCTGCTGGCATCGATATCGCGGCTACCAGCGATGCTGAGTATGACAGCGATGCGCACTGCATTCAAACCCCTCAAATTACCGAGCGTGTCACATGTGGTATAACCGGTGTAGCCAGCAGTCCTATGAGAGTCTTATCAAGTGTTGACAGCGCCGAAGGTTCCTTAGAACTCAGCCATGATATACTTCCAAAAGGTTTTGATGGAACCACGTCCACAACTTCGGATGACGCGCCCGGCTTTGGAAAAAATGTTCCCGCCAGCAATTTAGATCTTGAACTGGCAGATAGTGCAGGATTTGGTAAATTCGACACATTCGAGAGCGGTTTCAAGTCACATCTCCAAGCCGTATCCCGGAGGCTAACACGGCCGTTTATTCCTGGTTCGTCAAACTTTCCAGCAGATATAGGGAAACCTGTAAGCGGTAAAAATATCGATAGTGCACCTCTTTTTGAATCATCCTTGTCCAGATTCTCATGGGAGTCCGATCCAGCTCGCACAAACGACCTTAGTCCCATACCCGTGCTCCAGGTCGAGCTATCCCAACTGAAAGCCCACTACGAAGCTGATGTGCCTAGTAGAATGGCATCAGCTCATAGTGGGTCCTTTCCTCTGCTTCACAAAACGAGCCCACAAAGAACGTCAAGCGCTGACAGACAAAGCTCCTCTGGTTGGCAGGCTAACAACAAATATCGCGCTCAGAGCAGATTCATCGAGAGTTTCGATGGTATACGTTCTAGTAGTGCTAGTGATCCTGTCATTCAGAACTGCAATTCTGGCCAACAATACATGAGAACGAGAAGTGTTAGTGATGGATGGATTTCTGATGGCAAGCGCCAGGGTTATGGCTTCCATTTTGTCGCGGAGGATGATGGCAAATCTCCAAGTTCAGAAACAAACAATCCATCATCGGAAACTAAACAAGAACCCACCCTCAATTCTGATCTGCGTGATCTAGTCAAGCTCTCAAGGAGCGAAAGAAATCTAGAATGTTCTTCACGAGCTTCCAGTGAATCAACCGCCGTCGGCAGACAACATGGAGGCGAGAAGTCGGACGATAAGGGAGCCCGGGGCATTCTCGGTTGTGAGAAATTTGAATCCCAAATGAACTCAAAAGAGTCTCAAAAGATCCCATCAGATTGCAATGGGAGTAACAAAGGGCTTTTCTCTCAGTGGGCTAGGTTTCCAAGCCACTCTAAGGCTGCAAGAAACGAATCTGCTGGGCGTTCCGATAATGTTGTGGCTCGTGACTTTGTACCCACGGATACGCCCAAGGCAAGCCAAAACATAAACCCCTTCCCGTTACCGAAGATTGCACACGATAAAACTGATTCACTGCCTGCCATTAAAAGAGGTACAGGGTTGTTCCACTGGTTACATCGTTCCGATAGCCTTGACCGCAGACGATACCGAGCAGGACATAGGAAAGAAACCTCTAGAAGCGACGATTTGAAGGACCCAGATCTGGAAATTATCCCTGGAGGACCAACTGGTCGACTTGTTCTTGAGCAAATTGGAGACTTCAGAGACGAAACTAAGCGGCAAAAGCTGCGTCTAAACGCTCGGGAATCGAGTGAGAGAGTAAGTGAACAACAGACTCCCTGGAGCAAGGTCGAGCATCCCTCCCCTCTGGGATCTCATCCACCAGGTCAGCTGGGTTTCTCTACTTTCGATGGGAGCGGTATGGACGCGTCGATGGAGCCATGGTCTGCAGACATCTGGTCACGTTTGTACGAGGATTGTATAGGGGCATTCTCCGATGACGGCGAGGTTACGTTTGAGCCTGGATCGGAGAAAAGTCCTGAGAAGGCCCCGATTGATAAACAAAGGCACGATCAGGCGTCAACTAGCATAGATCTCCGCAGCTCAACTGCGGAGTTCAAAGAGGAGCAACTTTTGAATGAAGTTGGCTCGAAGGATGGTCTATTAAAGCTAGTTGAGCAGGCATGGGGAGGGAAATAGTTATCATCGATGACTATTCTGTGTAAGACCTAAACATCCGAGAGTTTTCGTGATTCGATTCGGGTATGGAGGTTTGCTAGGGTGTTTGGAAGCGTCTTTAGTTCGATGTCGGGTTTAGAAACACTCAGTCCTCTCTAGTATCGTTCCTTTTTATATCAGCCCTTCTATAAATACACGAGTTGGAATGTATGCCCCTATTTTTGGCCCCTCCTATATCGCACCTTTCATCCATTCATCCATCGATAGATTTTGTTTAAGGAGAAATCTGATTAGCGTGTTTGTACCTAACTTTTATTCTTGGCGTATACTATTTTTCAATTCCACTTCACGCCCATTGTGAAGAACACACTGACAATGGAGCATGAATCTTATACTAATTGTGCCGAATATGTCAATTCACGACAAATATACACCGAAAAGCATAGCTAAGTAATGTAGTTAAAGAAGAATATAAGGGCTAAAATTAATATAAACCTAAACCCAGATAGCACAGCACCTAGCTAATGGTAATCCTAACCCCTTCAAATTCCCTAAAACACTCCGCGAAAACCAAGTTAAACACAAAATATAGCTCCCCGCCAGGCTACTTCTTTTGCCTCTTCGTGCTCTTGTCGCTAACTGCGCTTAAAACGCTCGCGCTTCGTTTATGTGTCCTTCCCGAGCCAGCTGTCGCCGCTCCCTCAGCTCCAGCTTCTTTCGACTCGTCATCTGCTTCACTCTTGATCGCGCTAGCTTCATCGTGTCTTTTCGTTGCTGGCGCATCGGCGCCATTGATAGCAGCAGTATCGGCAGCGGCAGCAACAGCCTTCTTATCTTCTCCGACACCCTCATCGCCTCCCGCTGCTCCTTGCTTCTCCTTGTCGGCCTCCTTGTCTCCTTCATTCCCCTGCCCTGCTCCCGCAGTGTCTCCACCAGTCTTGCTAGCTTCTTCCGCTTCCAGCCTCTCCTTCTCCTTCCTTTCCCGTTCCTGTTTGGCCGCCTCTAGCACACGGATCTCGCCCTCGACTTTTTCTGCGAACTTGCGCACGTCGAGCAGAAGATTGACCGAATGTATCAGCTTTTCAAACTCCTTGCACACCTTCTCCGTCGGCATGACGAGTCGGGGTGGGATAGAAAGCTCAGTAAGCGCTGCAGCAAGTTTCTGAGACTGGATGTTAGATTTCGCCTGTGTGAGCTTCTGTGCCCTATCGTTTCGGAACTGGACGCCTGACGTAAGACGCTCGTGACGTGTAACGCCATATTTGGCTTCTTCGGCAGGAGTGAGTGATTTGACGTTTGGCTGCTGAGCTGCTGCGCTGGCTGCTTTCTTGGTAGTTGCCGGTGTTGGCGCCGGAGCAGCAGGCGTCTGAGGTCGACTCTCGCGAGCACTCTGTGGGGGATTCTGTTGGGTACTCGGCTGGCTTGCTGGGCTGGATGTGCCAGTTTCCAGCGCCATAAGTGAACGACGTTTCTTGGACTTATCGGCTTGTAGGAGCGTATGGAGAAGTTGCGATAGGCCTTGGCTCGACTGGTACATCGTAGTATTGCTCGTGCTGATAGGTGCCTCAAGTCTGGCGTAGAGCTCTCTTCGCTCTTCGATAAAATTCTTCTCGTTGGCCACGATCCGTTTGAGTTCCTCAAGGAGCAAAGTCTCTTCATTAACTTCGTCCTTTGATCGGTTCAATTGTAATGTGGCCAGATCTTTACGGGCCTTTTCTTGTTCAGGGTCATACTTCATCATTTTCTCATGGAGGTTGAACTCCGCCTCAGACATCTCAGATGGAGGATGTTCAAGTGCCAACATATTTGCAGCAATAGTGTAGTAACGCGATTTCATCTCTTCCATCGTTCGACGTCGGGTTGTTTTAACAAGAGCCGTGGATTCGCCGTTTGTCGAGGGTGGGCTTGGGGGGTATTCGTATCTGTCGGCAATGACGATCCATCGCAAATCGTATTCCTCGACGAGATCCATAAGATAGTCCGTCTCCTCACGACTCCAGATATGGCTTTTCAGGTACCGATTGTACTGATCATCTGTATATCTTTTCGGGACTTGAGCTTTCACATTATACTTCGCAAATGCATAGACATCCTCCAGTTTATTTTCCGCAGCTTCAGTTTCGTTTTTAACTTCCCCATCTCCCGCTCCTGCTGTTTCAACAGGAGTCGCTTCATTAACGACGGCTCGTTTTCTCTGCCAGTGTCGGAGAACAAGACCATCTGATCGAGCGGAGTTTTCAAAAGGGGCCATCTCCCTATACGACGTACGCACGTTAGCAACGGTGTTATTCAAACACTTCCGGATCATGATATGCCTTACCATGGCCTCACTTTCAGCTTGCTCACCCATTTCCGCCGTCCCTTATATTTATTCTCGTTTAAGGCAATAGGAGGAGCACGTTCGCCTAAAAGAGCAAAGAGCTCTCGAGTAATACCCTCTATAGAGAGACATTAGCAGCGCATTCCAAATCTGGGCTAAAGGCTCACGTACCCGGTCGTTTTTCGACGACTTTCTGTTTCTTATGAGGTCTGGGTTGGCCGCCGTCTGCAGGCAGATCCAGCATATCACGGATGTCTGCGGCGGCCATGGTGGCGACCTAGAGGGAACTGTCGCGCGCAGGGGCAATTTAGAAGCGAGACTAATAAATCCTTAAAGTCCTTCTATGTAGAAGCACTGCAGTAAAATGAGGATTCGCGATGGAAGTGTAGTAGTTGTTGATGATGGTTTGCGCGATGACTTGATGTATGGAATCTAGCAGCGGAAGTATGAAGGAATTGTGTTTGTAGTGTTTGCATCTCTTGTGACATCTTGAAGTGGACACTTCAACTGTTCTCCTCAAGCAACAAGAGCCCCCTTAGCCATACCCAAGTCAACCCGCACGCATAAAGCTCAGGGAGACTCTTCAATCCTAGCTGTGGTTTGGCTTAACTCTCCATCATGGCGTCCTCCCGCTCGCAGTCCTGGTTGTCGTCATTTTTCGCAATTGTAACGATCCTCACCCTATCAACACCCGTCCACTCGCTTTACTTCTTTGTCCAGCCACGCCAGCAAAAATGCTTCTACGAGGACATGCCGCAAGGAACTCTAGTAGTTGGTAGGTTTTTTTCTTATTTCCACCCTGTGGCAACTATACCGTATCCCATCAGATGCGATGGTGGACGTCATTGGACCTTTGTGTACTAACCGTTCTCTCTCACCAGGTACCTACAAAGCGGAAGTCTACCAGCCAGAAACCGGCTCCTACGTCTCGGATCCTAGCCTCACCCTTACCATCACAGTCGACGAAACATTCGACAATGATCACCGCGTCGTATCCCAGCGCGGAAAGGATGCTGGACGCTTCACTTTCTCCGCCGCAGACGCCGGTCAACACAAGCTCTGTTTCACCCCAGAGACCGCTAATGGAGGATGGCTCTCAGGCTCCGCTGCAGTAAAATTGGCCCTTGACATCGCCATTGGAGAAACGAGCAAAATCGAAAGCGAAGATAAATCCAAGATGGAGGATATGGCTCACAGAGTCAAGAGTCTGAATAGCAGACTACAGGACATCCGCCGAGAACAGGTTTTCCAACGGGTAGGTGACCTAGCTACTATATCATTCGCTGTATGATGCCAATATATACTGACTTGAATCTCGTCTTAGGAACGAGAGGCCCTATTCCGCGACCAATCCGAAGCCACCAACGCGCGTGTCGTCCGCTGGACTTTAATCCAACTTGTCCTCCTCTCATTAACTTGCGCTTGGCAGCTTTCCCACCTCCGATCGTTCTTCATTAAGCAGAAGCTTACATAATTTGGAGTATTTCTTTTTTAATACGATCTCCTGATGCCCACGGGTCTTTGAAATCCTATTCGGAGGGAGACTTCATTGCTTTTTTGTTTTTTTAGCCTGCCAATGAGGCGCGTGAGGACCCTATGGGATTAGACAGGAGTTGTTCGTTCGGAAACTCGTACAGTCCTGAATTGATGGGGTGAGGTACGCATCGTTGAGCGCTTCGACTTTTTCCTTTTAAGAGTTTCTTTCCTTTTGTGAATTGAAATGTGTATGGGTATATTATGGGCTTATTCATGACTATGTCAATTTATCACCCCCTGTGATGTTTAAAGGTAAAATCTGCGTGAATATTATTTCTGGCGATTTACCATAATCTATATGTTTTTTTCTCGAAATTCTCTTCCTCACCCCTTCCAAGTCAACATAATTTTACTCCCATTTTAATTTTAAGACTTGGATCAGCTCTGGCCATGTAAGTACATCGCCCGCCTTCCTCGAAGCCAGATACGTATAAGAATTCAAAGAGAAAGTACATTACATTTCGTTCTGAACTGATACGTGTGCTAAGGGTACCTAATAGCTGCCGCGGTACATACAGTCCAACTTAGAACCATCCCCCCTCAACTACAAAGCACTTGACTACCTAGGTAGATACATTCATATTTAACCCGATAGCTGAAATCCGCAGAAAGAAACAGAGACGACACAAATTTATCCGCCAACAGACCTTAAAGAAGAAACGTGCGTCCGGCTACCTAACAAATTTGCATCCGAAAGCGCCATTACGTTGTCCACGAACAAGGAATAAAGGTAAGTGAATACAGAGAACAAGCTCAGGAACCGAACTTGGACCAAGCTATGGGGAACCAGTTAACAATTCGAGGTACTGGTGAAGAGAGAAATTCTCGAATTGAGATCCTCCATTGCGAAATCCTTCGAGCCAAGGGGCAAACATGAAGAGAGGGGCAAAAAGAAAGAAAGGAAGGATGGAAGAAAAGGAAGAACAGAAACAATAATGTCACAAAGAAAGGAGGGAAAATACATATTCAGGCAACCCCGGCAATGGCCTCAGATAGCTCGAAACACTCCCTAGCTGTCTCGGGGTTTACAAATCGAAGACAATGGAGTTTCCTTCTCCCATTCAGAATGGCTGGCCCTCAACCCATCCATAACGGCGTGCTCGTCCCATGCGATAGGGGGACTTTGGAGTTGGTGGCAGCGATTCATCTTCAGGTGTTTGGTCAGCCAAGCGCCAGGATATCTGCGCCAGCTCGCGGAATGGGAACCAGTCCTCTGCATAGACAGAAACAGAGCACGTATCAGAGTGAGAGTACGACGAGACATCAGCAGCTACATCTTCTTGGTCAGGGGGTGGTGGGGTATCTCCGTTATTACTTGCGCTGCCTTCAGCAACGCCAGTGTTGTTGTTGTCGTCCGTGGTCGGCTCCGACGAGGCTTCGGCTACAGAGGCAGTTTCTGGTTCTCCAGGAGACTCTTCTACCACTTCAGCGACGGTTACGACGTCGTTAACACTGGCTGGTCTGCTCTGTTGCCCATTGTTGTCCACAGGATGCATGCGCAGGGGGTGAATATCTGGCTCATCGTTGGCAGTGTCAACTACTTCTGGCGGGGCGTCCTGGTACTCGCTTTCAGAGTCGGTACATAAAGACAAATGCCGAATGCAACGAGTGTAGTCTCTCGAAGCTTGGGGTGCTTGAAAACGTCTAGGTATGTTGGCATCGCTATCTGCGATAGGGCGCTGGAAAGAAGCAACCCCTGTCAAGCTCGCAACCTTTGTCAGCTGGAGGTTGAGTTGTTCTGCAGCGCGTCGCTCAGCAGATGGGACGCCTTGATAATCATATATTAGCTTACTCTTATTACGGGCAACAAACAAAGATCGACATATGGCCTCCAAAGTACCACTTCTCTCAAACCTGGCTTACCGTTTCCCTGATGTCTCTCCCGACGGCCAAAAAGTCTACCAAGCAGCCCGAACGGAAGTCGACGACGAGCGTTCGCATCCCTACTACTGCCAGGTACTTCATCTGCTGCTGTTTGATTGCCGATCCAAGTTAGCTATCTGCAACTCCACTTAAAGAGCTGTTGAAACGGGATAGTAGCTTGGGAGCTATCTTTTTTATTATTACCTTCGTCTCCTGCATTGACCCTTTCAGTGTGAGAAGTTTGGGTACTTTCATTGTTATTCTCAGGCAGAGGTGAACCCATCGCCTCCCACCTCCCGCCTGGTGTTTTGTGTCAAAGAAGACACCAGAAGGCAGCTAAGGTGCAGTTCAAAGGATTGATAAGTAGTGAGTGATGTCTCAGAGCTTTGTTGTGAAATGAACACCTTTTAACAATGACAGCAAGTCTTGAGGGGCTGAGAAGTTGAGATGTAAACAGGAGCAAGCAAATCTGACATGGACGCTCATTTCACAAATGGCCACAGCTTCTCATGCGGTTCTTGATTGACTGACTGCAAGTAGCATCAGACAAGCTACTTCAAAATGACATCTCCATTATATTTAATTCTAACGCAGCCTACTCAGACACAGGCTTTACAGCTTCGGGCGCCCAGCAAGAAGATATTCAGACTAAGAGCAGAACCAAGTTCGAATAAGAGCGGGCCAGAGTAAATGCAATGCAAGCCCCTGATCTGATATTCTCGTCTCCTGGACATGGCTCCTTACGGCCTAACGTGCCCTTTACGCAGGTCCAGCAGTGGATAAAAGGGAGGCAGATTGGTTCTTCTTCTCTTTAGCAGTATAAGAGATATCTCATTCTATATGCCCTCTATCTAGCAGCAATGAGTAAGGAAATTACTTCGTGATGGCGCCGCCACCATCAGCGTCGAAAGGAAACCTCGAAGGATCAAAAGGAGTGACAATGGAAACAACAGTGCTCATTTACTGCAGGAGATATATGACTTCAGAGCCATGATCCCCAGGTGTAGTAGCGGATGAATAATGAAATGAAACGGAGGGTGAGTATGATATTGCCGGAGGGGCCAATCTCTGAAAAAAAAAAAGAAAAGCAAAGAAAACAAAGAAAAGGAGTGAGCTGATAACAGTGTATCAGATGTCCATACTAAATAGTGTACCTGTATAGGCGCAAAACCTGCAAAAATATTAAATGAAATCAGGTAACGTAGGAGTTCAGAGTTCTGCAGTATACTTTCGGTGGCTGACATTCTCCGAAACTCCCGCTAGGCCGAGGCTATTGACAAGTAACAAGGGGCAATTTCCACTCCATAGGATGCTTCCCCTCAGTATGCTATGAAGGCTCCTGATACTTGCTTGCTACATGTAGCAGATGCTTGCTATGAACCACCAAGAGGGGGCACATGGATGTTTCTCTTGGCTGAAATAATAAGATAGAGTACTATATATATATGCTCTGGATGTCTTTAACCCCTGCGGCCCAGCACTCCCAAGATTTTTCCTCTTGAATCAAACCACAACTATATAATCCAATCCAATGCAATCCAACACAACCATGCCATATTCTCTCAAGGGAAGAAATGTCCTTATTACTGGAGGCTCAAGGTCCGATATATTTACCCTCCTTGAAGTGTTGTTTTGTGATATGCTATCAAACCCACCCCCACCCCCACCCCTCCTCAGGACTCTGCAGGGAAGGGGGTGGGAAATCCAAAAGAATGGTAGAAAGGGAAAAGAACAATTGAACTGAAATCTAACTTTCTGTCTTTTCTCCATTTTATATAGAGGCCTGGGAGCTCTGGTGGCAGAGAAATTCGCAGCGGAAGGCTCCAATATCGCCCTGAATTATGTATCAAACGAAGCTCGCGCGAAGGAAACTGCTGAGAAGCTGGAGAAAGAATTCAATGCCAAAGTCATTCTCGTCCAAGCAGTATGTACAAGTCTCTTTTCTTTTCTTTTTATATTGGGCTTACAGGTATTGCAAAGATGAGAGAAAATGAGAGCGGTGTTAACTTCAGAGAATGAAATATCTAACCAAATATAGGATGTTGGTATACAGGCAGATTGCATCAAGCTCGTCAAGCAAACGATTGAGCAGTTGGGAGGCCTAGATATCGTGATCTCTAACGCTGTATGGCTCCCCCGTCCTCTCACATACTTTTCCTCGTCACCATATGTAAAAACATTTTCCTTCAATAATGACATTTTTAGGGGTGGACGAAAATGTCCCAATTCGACGATCTGAATGCATTGAATGAAGATGAATGGGACAAGGTATGGTTTGAAGGCCCTAACATACTATCCACATTAAGCACGAGAGAGAGAGAGAGAGAGAAAGTTAGAAAGACGCAAGAGCTAATCTTCCATGTTCACTGTTCACTCTTGTTGATATTGGCAGTGCTGGGCAACTAATGTCAAAGCAAATCTTCACATCTTCCGAGAGGCGGAACCGACGTTTAGCGCTAACCCCGAAGGCGGGGTGTTTATCATAACTTCTTCCACAGCGGTTAGATATTATTGTTGATTTCCGTTTGAGGGAAAAACTTCTGCTGAAGATATGTGTTATAGGGCATTACTCCAGGAGGGAGTAGCATGGCATACTCCGTCTCCAAGGCAGCAGGTGAGCGGATATGGACACTCCAAACATGGCTGCCAGTGTTCTAACCATCTCGACTATAGGGTTGCATTTGATGAAAGCGCTCGCTTCATCTCAGGGGCCCAAGATCCGAACTAATGCTGTCCTCCCAGGGCTTCTCCTCACCGAATGGTGAGTGTAACCTAGATGAGATATGCCAGTTCTAGGCTATTTCGATTAACAATGTGGACACAGGGCGAGAGATTCCCCAAGGAAGCCATCCAGGACTATATAGATAAGGTTGCTTTAAAGCACGTTGTAAGTAACAAGCCGACCTTTCATAGTTGTTAATGGGAGACATGCTAACCACATATCATAGCCTGAGCTTGATGACTGCGCTGATATATTCATCACAATTGCCAAAAACACCTCTATGACTGGGCAACAGATTCAAGTTGGTAAGTTAAACCACATCTTCGAAGTCTTTGGCTTATTAAAGCCACTGACTGTGATATAGATTCCGGGTACTATTTCCGGTAATTCATGTGCTGCTGGGAAGAAATACCTGGGTGATCCATGTCGATTGCACTAAAAGGAGGGCAAATGAAATGGGAGATGGTTTAAATATAACTGCGTAAGCCGCCATGTTTATGGTAGGCAAACAGATAGACAGATCGTAGTACAATAATATAAAGTATACATACACCTATTGTACACCCAACCCCTGCGTAACTCGAAGGAATTCAATGCATAGATTCCAACGAATAAATGATTCCTAGTTGTGTTGTGTGCCTTTCCATACCCCTTAACAGAGGTCAGTATCATACAAGGCCCGCAAAGAATTTAGCGGGCAACGGAGAAGACATAGGCTGAATATCCAACAATTTTCCCTTCTTAGCGGCTCGATAAGCCGGTGCGGATTGTTGGCCTTGGACTTTAATTTCGTCTATCCGGAAAATCTTCCGGTCGCACGTTGTTACGTATAGGGGACGGTCCAGCTCACTGGCATTCGTCCGAGAATCCGATGCGAATATCACGCCAGGGTCCAGTTTGACGGAATCGAGAACACCCGCAATAGACTCATCAAGTGCCATCTTGGTAAATATTATTCTCTTTGTCTCGTAGATTCCAGAACCTGGAGAGCCAGCCTCAGTGACGGCATTATTCCACAGAGGGCCGAGCACTCGTTGGCGTCGACTTATCTCTTGCGCGGTCCAGGAACTCCAATTTATATGTCGATCTTCCGGCTTGATCTTCCCAGCATGTCGCAGAGCAGCTTCATTATCTGGTTTGTACCATCCCACACTTTTCAATGGGGGAACAAAGACTCGGTTTCGAATACCTGCTACAAGCATTTGGGCGCCTTTGTCCGAGACCAAATCCAGCAGCCGCGGAACATCGCATGTATCTGGATCTGGTATGCTAAAACCTGGAGGTGGGGTTTGATCAAGAATTACTCCATGGTCGAATTCCCTTGGATCAAGTGTTTGCAGTGTAACTCCCGTTTTCGTTTCTCCGGCTAACAATGTGTGGTGTAAGGGTGCCGGTCCTCGAAAGCTAATTTATCCCGTTAGATTATCTTCTCAGCCAATGGAAAAGTTAAGACTTACTCTGGGAGTAGAGAAGGATGGACGTTAAGACCTCCATATTTTGCGGAGCTCAAGATTCGAGGAGGTATAAAAAGACCAAACGATACAGCAACGATGAGATTTATGGGATGCCCCTGTGGTTGCGGAGGCTACTCGGGTAAGGTGGTTAGGGAATCGGAATATCATAGATTTTGAGACAGTAAGGAATCCTCACTTTCCAGCCGGTAAATGTATCAATTTCGTGGATAGGGAGAGACAGGTGCGTCGCAGAAGCTTTAATTGGGACTTTATATATAAAGTTAGCTAAATGAAACATTCCTCTATTTATTGGAGAGGAACATATGAGCACCTTCCTGAATGTTTTTCAGCCCCCGTCCAACCCTCTTCCCAGGCCTGCAGACAACATCAATTGAGGCGATCGATTCCGGATTATTTCCGCGTTCCTTGCACAGCGCCTTCAACGAAGCTATGCTGAAGCTATCTGACCCGCAGAAGAGGATCCTCAGAGGGTCGCATGACTTGGTGGAGGCATATCGAACTTTAACATGAGTCGTACGAACCAGAAATGGCCGACGCAGAATAAATAGCCCCGAGGTCACCATATAATTCATTAGGCCATGAAGGAAGTTGATCTGGTGTTTGGAAACTGAATGTAAAGATTGAGGTTAACTAGTTCGGCGGAGAGCCCTATCCATGTCACGTGATGATAACTCGTTGCCCAGCCTTATCTGCCTGAGAAGCAACCTCTAACCTCCAGGACAGCATTCAAGCAGCTTCGTTGTTTTAAACACGGGGCGTATACTGCTAGGCCAATACAGCCATGTTATTGCTAGAGGGCGTGTGATGAGAAGGTCAATGCCCCCGAAGCAGCCAAGTTCGGTTGTCCCCGCACAACTCTCTTTCCTTGCGATATACAACCCATCCCTAGGATCTACAGATGAAACTCTCAGAGATCAAATTGTTTTCTACTATTCGAGAAAGGAAAACGAAAAGCTAGCTAGAAGCACGCAACAGAGAGCTGCGCAGAGGGGCGCTACCGATTGTGCTAAAATCGATAACAATGAGAAGTTGCGCCAGATAGGTCTGGCGCAAGGCATGGTGAGCTTCGCCAAGTAGGTATCGCCTCCGAATCTCGCCCGTATTCAAATGTACAGCACCAACTGAGCTCGCTCTAGGAACTTCTCCAATGGTGAAGCGGTAGATACAGTCGAAACTGAAAAGTCCAGGATCGTGTTGCATGAGCTGGAAACCGGTTGGTGGATTCTAGCGGTATGGTACACCTTCGCCCCCAGACGTTGTTCGTCGCTAATAAATTTGCAGTCTATCGACTATACTCGTATATCCTCAGAGCCCCTGACATCGCCTGAATCACGACCAGATAATGCGCCAGAACCGCTAGTTGAATATTCGTCCCGCGAAGTTGCCCCTGCACGTCTCATCCTTCAGCAATTGCTGAGAGCGCACTCCATCTTTCTCCTCCATCATGGGCCGTCTCTCGGTGTTCTCTACAGTCGCCTGCAGAGAACAGCATTTTGCAGTGCACTGGAATATTTTTGGTTAAGATTCGTATGGAATTGGAATCCTCTTTTGAATGGAAACCCGGCGGTTGAGATCTACAATGGCATCAAACTCGCAGCGACAGGGGAACTTGGAATTGGTGTTGGGGAAGAGGAATGGGGAAGCGGAGAACGCGAAGTTTTGGAAGATTTTGTTTCAAGAACAGACGGCCTAGTCGACCTGGTAGTATCACGTTTTGGGGACACATCTCCCAACGGCCAGAGAGATAATTCCCCCGGCCAGCAGTCAACAAACGCAGGGTCCGCTGCAGAAAGTCACCCGTGGATAGGGTGTAATACACCTCCGCATTCATTCGATGGCGTGGTATTCTCAGGTGTCGGGGCTATTTCGAAGCAGTCTCTTACTCGAGTCTCTCACTGGATGGAGTGGATATACCGATATGGTGAAGATACATTTGGGGTCAGACGTGATCCGAAATCTATCCATCGACGCAAGCGACGAAAAGGTCCAGAGGGCGGAACCTCAAACGGCGAAAGCAAAGCCCCCAATCCAAAGTCCCCGAGCCGTACTCCAAAACGCAGCTTGTCTCCTGGAATTCCTCCTCCCATACTAGCAGGGCCAAACTCAACAATCAAACAAGCCACTGAAATGTCGAAATCTAGAGAAAGTAACCTTAATGCACAAGATAGCACGAAATCCTCTACAGAAAACTCCGCCGATCCGTCCGGATTTGGTACGGAGAAATTCATGAAATTATTGACTCTAGGATACGGGACGTCTTGGGCTGATCCATCCAATTTTTCTCTATCTCATCCTAGAGTGAACTTTTTGAGATTCGGTGGCAGCCCTCAACCAGCTGCAGGAGAGGCCGATTCTTTGTCAGTGGCAAGCTCTACTGAACCAGAAAGCACGCCGCTCCCACGGACAGACAATAATGGGAGGTTTATAATAGGACTTCGTGATGACCCAGAGATAGAGGATAGTGATGAGGAAGATGACCCGCAGGCTACCGAACTACGGAATCCGCAAGCAAAAGGATCTCAGAAAGAGAGAACCGTCTTACGAACATTGACCCTAATGATGGAGGAGTCCGCATCGAATGGGGATTTTGAGGGTATGTTACTATTTGGTTGCAGGCGGCCTAACCTCAAACATTAACCACTCAAAAAAATACACAGATACGGCGTCCATCGATAAATACCAGGATCTGCAAGTGGTAGTATATCTCGTAAGAACCTCGTACTAAAAACTTGCCCCATATCAGCGAGAGCTAATTAGGAAATCCAGAACCAACCATTCATGTTCACATTCCTCTTCGAATCTAAAACATCCTCACTCTCATCTCCATCGTTTTACCGGAGTATCCATCACCAGATTGGCCCTCTCCAAAAGCCTCTATTACTGTCAACGTCATTGGACAAAATACCCCAGCGAGCTCCCCTCTGGGATCAGTATCGAAATTCGAAGGAAAAGCCCAGTGGACAGTCTCCTCTCTACGATTTTATCTATGACCCTGAAGCGCGATTTATTCACACTTCACTTCCCGACATTCCAGAGCCAGGAATGCCAGTGCAAACGATAAAGTTATCATCCCCGGGATCTTCGGAACCACCATGGACCCGCCAGGATACGATCAATGTCCATACTCAAATCATAAATACATATATCGAAACCCGTAATCGCGCGTCTGAAATTGAGCGGACGTGCAGGACAAGCCGGGGCTGGTGGGTATTGTGGATGCGGCTTAAGGACACCAGTGTAGGCTCTCATTCTAGCAAACAAGTAGAAGGAGAAGAAGGTGAAGGTGAAGCAGACGAAGGGGAACAGCAGTCACGAACTCCGTCAACCCTTCAGCAAACCCCCGCTCCGAAGGCGCCAAAAGAAGCGTTTCTTGTCCGGAAAGCCAGCGATTGCGCTGTGTCAGGACATACCCGCCATTCCAGCGGAGCGAGATTCTTCCGCGACATTAGCGGTGCCTCAGCCGCCTCGCAGTCCAGTACCGGGAATGGACGAGGAAGCTGGTTGGGCCCCGGAAAACTGGCTGAAGGCGTGGGGCTGGATGCGCGGAGGTATATCCAGGCCTTGTTGAATTTGAACCGGTAGCGGACTAGTAGAGGAAGGCAAGTGCAACATATGGCGAAGAGCCCAAGGCTGAATCAGTTTTGCATCGCGAAAGGGGAGGGGGGAAAGCGACTGCTGAGTGTATTGCGTCTGAGAGCTTCTGCCAGGGGCCCTTAGGTAGTCGAGAGGCTCATGAAATCAAAATATGTAGTTGAATCATTGGCGTGAAAGCATCATTCTAGTTTAACAATACCGTTCGCACTGTTCCCCCATGTCTATCAACCTACTATAGGTAGGTATCTACATAGCACGCATCGGCCGGGCAGCCTGTCCCACGAATTTAAAAAGACGCACGCTACGCGTAGATCTAGA